ACCTGTGGCGGGTTCCTGCAGTGAAAGACCCGTGAAGATCCGGGTTAGAATATTGATCTTCAGTAACCCATGCTTGTCGTAAGAGGCGACTAACGGGATCGGGTGGTCAGGCTCGCTGACTGGGTTGACACATGTCATCGGTTCCCAATTGCGCAGATCGATGCTCATGCTGTTGATCACTGGTTGTCAGGTCCAGCCTCGATTATTTACAGACCACTGCCATATAGCTGGAATATTGCTGAGTGCGGTGTAAAACTAAACTCACTCACTCACTCATTCCTGCAGTGAAATATTGTGCTTGCTATCTTCACTCAACCTCACTAATCCTCTCACTAATCCTCTCACTAATCCTTTCATTCTCCTGCTGTCTTTCATCCCCTCAACCACTGGCTCGCTCACTCTCACTCACTCATTCATTCATCTTCTCATTCGAACTCATTCATTTGTCTTCTCATTCATTCACTCACTCAAACACCTTACTCACTCAAAAACTTAGACATTCACTAGTCCTCTCACTCATTCCTCAAAGCACTGGCTCGCTCATTCTATCACTCTCTCACTCACTCACTCATCCACCCACCTACTTTCTAAAAATTCACTCAGCCATTTTCTTATCCTTCCTCTAACTCGCTCACCTATTCATCCACTCACAGACACACTCACTCATTCATCCGTCTGCCCACTGAAACTAGTCCAATAATTCCATCTTTCTTGCCAAAACATCACCATTCCTCCATTCCAGCCAATTCTGCCCACTTGTATATCAAATATTCAGTACCTCATTTGCATATTTATTACCCTCCATACAGCCATGCTTAATTGATTACCACATATGCTAATGTGTGACATAATGGGACGAATGTATCAGATTGAAATGTGTACATGTATATTCATCAATTTTATTTTAATCTCCAGTATATTCAGTTTCCATTAAAAATACAACGGCCATTTGAATCAATTTATGCAATACATGATGATCTCATTTCAAAAGTTGTACGGTTAACCTAGCCTATGTACACATTTCTGAAGTCCTGTTTCTGGTTTGATGAGTAACAGGTCAGATATTGATGTAGGTTTGTGGAAAATGGTATCATGATGTGCCAATGAATTATGCAGCGCCTGACAGGGAATTACTCTGTTTCTGCACGAAACACTTTTGTCAGCAGTACTATAATTGATTGAGATGATTCCTACAACATCAACAAACATCCACGTCCCTAATTCAATTATTCTGTTGACTGACACAATTACCTCTGTAAAATGGAAATGCTGCTTCATAGTGTGAAAACATATTCCTAAAAACTACTCTGGAACAAAAAGGTCAGGATGAACTTTACTTAAGCTGGTAGTGCTATTTTCCTAATAACACAGGGAGTATTTATGCCCAGCATGACATCTCCCTGCTTAAAACGCGGATGACATTTCCGAGCAGTTGTGAGAATGTAACACATTTTTCAAAATGGAAACTTTGCAGTTATAAATTGGCCCTTGTGACACTAATATGAGAGCCTTTGTTAGGGAAACACAAGGTGTGTGGCATTAAACCCAGCAGCCGATACAGTTCAGCTGGTGTCAAGGATGGGGACTTTTCCATTGTTATGCAAATGACACACCCTGTGATCATTTAGATAGAATTGCAAGAGATGATCTAGTGTTAGCCATCTTGGAGAGAGGGGTCAGATCAGGTTACAGCCAACTAGCCATTTGATGCTTTCTGCAGCAAAAATCAATTTTTTTAAATGCAATGTTATGATTTTTGGGGGGATATGTCACGCAGATCTTCCCCAAAATGACTTGAGATTGCTGTTTGAAAGGAGAGTGCTTTTGAGTGTGTTTACTTTTTGCACGTCTGCTCCGCCAACAGTTTGGTGTAACCTTTTAAAAAATATCTCCACTGATTCTGCTCTCTCATCCTCGGTGGGACGTCACCATTGTTTGACACTGTAATTATCATAATTGCGAATCAAAAAACGTTGCTCGTGCTTTTCCCGTTTTGTCCGCTTCACATGGATATTTTATGGAGTCGGCGGAGAAGTTTGGGATTAGAATCCTCGGATGGCCATGAAACATCTCTGGTCAAATATTGCAATCCCTCTCAGAAGGGGCTAATTACACAAAGCTGTATCCTCTGAATCATGTGGTCACTGTATTTGAGTGGCAGATGGTTGCAGCCGTATTAAACTACAAAATTAGATATTTTTTAAATTAATCTTAGACTCAGCTGCTATTGGTAAACACAGAGTTCCATGAACTGTGTTTTATGGTTGGATTTGGGTTTCGGTTGCAAGACCTTGTTCACTGTCATAACCTTTCTGTCCTCAGGGTATGTACTGATGCCACGCTTTCCGATGTCGCCAAATTTGATCCTTTGTTGGACCTGATTGGTCAATTTATACTCATTTATGAATTTTGTGAAAGTTGAGGATTTATGCTATCTTAACAAACCCAATTTCTATATTTGTCCCACCTTCATGGCTTATGTTACTCCAGGAAGGGCGGGAATACAGGGAAATCTATAGATTGTCTGAAATTGCCTCTTTTCTATCAGTTTTGTAATTATCTGCTCGCTAATGAAAACAGCTTTATATTTTCTCAATGTCGTTGCAGATACAATTGGGAAACTTAAAACAAAAAGTTGGTTTTGAATGGGTCTGGTTTAATGCCGGAACTTTTAAGAGTTTGTTATGTTTTTGTGCCTTAGCAGGAAGTGCCAGACTCGCAGTATTAGGGATTTGAAAGTTTGCACAATTGATTATTTTAAAATCAACCAAAAAATTGTAATTGAAGTTTGATTTTCCACTCAGGGTTTGAGATAAAATACTCGCCCTTGGTTATTTTCGATTTCATATATTGATCTTTTTTCATGTTTTCACAATGTTTTCGCAATGTTTGTGACGTGAATCGTACATTTTTTAATCTTTTAACTAGATGTCGTTGAGATGAACCCCAAACAATACAAAAAATAAGGTAATACAGACATGTTCTAGTTAAAAAGAAAGCAAAATAGTGAAGTCATTAGAAAGGAATATGGAAAATAGATAAAATAAAATGTATTCTTGGTTTGCTATGTAATTGGAAACAAGGTTGTCCATTTCTATATTCCTAGCACTTCATCATTTTATCTTGTTGTTTGTGTACAGTGTAGCTTTTGTCTTTTTCTGTCAGTCATACAAGATTTTATTTAAATGTTAACAGAATAATTCCTTCTTAGGTGGTTTTTGCTTCCTTATAAAAAGGATTCTTGATTAAACTATTTCCATTTTAAAAAACTTTTGTTTTTAAAGCTAAATATTTCTTAGAGTGAAATTCTTACTTGTTATATTTTCATAATGGAATGAAATTCCTTGCAAAAGCTAGACCTTGCCTGAAAATATAAAGTACAGTTTGATAGAATGTTTATCAGTTTTCCGTTTCCTGTTGACAAAGATCAGTCAGTGTTAGAACTATGCTTGAGGGCAGTGAGGTAGTCCAGTGGTGAAAGCTGTCACTGGACACTAGAACCAGGGTTTGATTCCCCTCATGGGTACAATGTGTGAAGCCAATTTTTGGTTTCCTCTGACATGTTGGTGCAGTGCTAAAAGTGACAAAACACCGTACACAGACAAGGTAATGTCATGATTGATCTAAAATAGATCAGGGTGCCGTTGTACAAAACTACCTTAGCGCTAAGGCTACCTTAAGTCTATGTTAAGGTATGGGAGTTACGGTCACCTTAGCGCTAAGATCGTTTTGTACAACGGCACCCTGGTCAGTGTGCAATAAGACGAGTAATCATCCATGTATTTGTCTCCTAGTCTATGAGGGGCACAGGTTGCCCTAGCATCCATGGTGTTACAGTTTGTTGTCTAGAGTAGCTTCTCATAGTCAATCCAGCTTCCAATGATGGGTTTAAATCCCAAATTCATTTTGATTTGGATTCTTGGTTTTTCAGCGCCATACTTGACCTTTTACCTCAGTATCTTTGTAAATATCTACCTGCAACATTTAGACTTTGTTCCCTCGTCAAGTTGACACACAATGATATAATTAAAGGAAATATACCAAGGACATTCACCATAGTTGAAAAATGATATAAAATTCAATAAAAACCTGGTCACTGAAAATATGGAAATATCGAGTATCTTTCTAAAATAAGATCGAGTATCCATAAATGAATCATAGAACATGAAACACACAAATACTCATGCTTGAAACTGAGACTGTGAGCTACACGTTCAAATTTGTATGTTTGTTTAATGCCGCATGTTGCGCAGTGGAAAATAAAACGATTGTGCAGAGCTATGCAAATTAACTGAAAACCTAATCAACTAAAATTTTGAACTTACCTTTTGGCCTAAAACAAGGAACTAAACGTGACAACTATTATAAGTGAGAAAACTATGGATGATTTACAAAGAACTAAACGTTATTCTCTTAAGTGATTCTAAATGAACTTTGAAATGAAATGACCCGCTAAATACCGCTAATTGCCTAACCTTAAACATACTAATGCAAGTTCAACAAGCTAACGCCACAATAGCCAATTGAACCTACACATCTAACAACAAAGTCATTCGTAGTCTAAATGCCTAAACACGAACTGGAACGAATAGCACCGAATGGCAGAAAGGAGCGAATGCCCCGTGTATCGCTGACCACCGTCTTATATATGCAAAACCTATTCGTTTTTCAGCGTGCACTCATTTCCAGGTGTGTTCAGGCGATATCGTCTAGTATGCACTGAGTGCATTTGAGCGAGCAGTTTTAGTGATAAACCAAAATGCCTTCAGAACACCGCACTCAGTAATAACCATTCCTGTTCGATAAATGGTTTACTGGGATCTCAAAAACTAATGCTTCATGTATCCTTTGTGCCTTAGTATCAATGATATCCTAGGTATTGGCAAGTGTTTATACCTTTATGTAAATAATCCAATGACCAGACAATCCAGTGATTGACGTCATGAACATCGATAAAGTGTTTAGTGGATACAAGAATTATGTTTCTTTTTGATTTCCAGAGTGGCCTTGTGATCAACAATATTGAGGATGACAATGAATACCTGTGCAACACCGTCCTGGAGAGTTTCTCGATGGTGGTCGGTATCAGTCCTATCATCAAAGCCCCCCTCCGGACGTTCCAGAACACGCTTCTCACTGCCATCGCAGTCACCACCGTCAACGAGCATACCATCGCGTTTATCGGAACCAGTGATGGCTACCTTAAGAAAGTGAGCTGCTGTTTTATTTCAGATCTCTCTAAGGGCGGTGGGGTAGCCTAGTGGTTAAAGTGTTCGCTCATTACACTGAAGACCCAGGTTTGAGTCCCACATGGGTACAATGTGAAGCATCATTTCTGGTGTCCCCTGCCGTGATATTGCTGGAATATTGCTAAAATCGGTGCAAAACTGAACTGGACCACTCGCTCAGATCCCTGTATGTCACCATGACTAGTCACCATATTTAAATATCTCTTAAATGACTAAACATTTAACTCATAATATGTTACCTTTAATTAAAGGGATTAGTTTCAAATAAATCAAATATATTGGTGATTATACAAGTTATTTTAAGCATCTGCAGCATTTAATTGTAGTCATGGAATGTCATTAAATTTAGAAAGCAATGGAAAATAGAACAACATAGAAAATAATTTCATCTGAATTGCTTGCCTCTGAGAAAACAACATTTGCTTGATATTTAATTTTGGTTATTATGTAATCTGAAATGTGTGTGTAGAAATGATCAATATTTCATATGATATTCTTCTAAATCTTAACAAATTTGAAAATCGCTGTGTGTCCGAGAAGAAATTCAAAATGAAAACCATGTAAGTTATTGCCACTGACATGTAAACTATTGTTGTTTTCTGCCACCAGGTGGTGCTCAAGTCAGCTGAGCGTGGCCATGAGTATGAGGAGATTCTGGTAGATGCCAACAGCGCCATTGCACAGGATATAGCCTTTGACCCGAAGGCTGAATACATCTATGTTATGACAGAGACAAACGTGAGTAACATTTGAACCCCACTTCTGTACATTTGTACTGTATTGTTCTGACTGTGATGTAGGTGAAGCCATGATGTATTGGTCATCGGTCAAAGTCCACAAGGTGATTGTTGGTGTGGAATCCTGTTTCCCCCCCTTTCATGTCTGCCATCACCATACCAATGTTCAGGGGTTTCTCTAAAGCATTAAAAGTTGGAGACTTTGCAACACTTTGGGATTTTGTGTGACATTAAGCTGATTCGCAGTGATATTTCTGGAAAACTGTGAAAAGTGGCTTTAAACCAAACTCACTCACTCACTCACTCACTCACTCACTCACTTGGGATCAGTTTCTCGAAAAGTTTCCACAGATCTTACCTCAGGCAATAACAAACTGTAATAGTCCAAGCATACTTCTTTACTCACTCACTCACTCACTCACTCATTCGGGATTGGTTTCTAGAAAAGCTTCCACAGATATTACCTCAGGCAATAACGAACTGTAACAGTTGACCCACATTCACTCACTCACTCACTCACTCCTTAGAATGCTATAACCCCCTGCTGACCATTAGTTGTCCTTTAGTTATGACCTTCACCTTGACTTATGGTAATTGCAACAAAGAGATTGCTTCATGAAGAGAGCCCAGGTTTTGTTAGAGGTAATAAGCTAGTGATCAGGTGTCCCCAAGACAGAAGAATATAGTAGTACTTAGAGAACAACTGACAGTATTCCCTGGCGGTTAGCATCTTGCCGGCTGCCATCATCCATCTGTGGAGATGAGTTTTGTTCTATCTATAAATTCTTAAGTTCTTTTCTGACAATATCTTTATATCCCAATGAATTGTTACATCTGACCAAATATGTCACCAAAAACTTTATCCACTGTGAAACATCTGTCCAGATTCAGTGTGCATTTAATATGGTATTATGTGAAAGTATTTAAATCACTATGTTGCTTCTTCATGCTCATTGAAAACGTATCATATGGTGTGTCAGTGTTTCCTTGTTCGTTCCATTGGTGTTGTTTTACTTCAAACAATGTTAACAAAAACAGTAAACGATAAACTATCACCCATGCCCACTCACTCACTCACTGAGTTCTCACTCACTCACTCACTCACTGTGTTCTGAATCGGGAACTGTTTCTGGAAAAGCTTCTACTGATATTACTTTAGGCAATGATAACATAAACTGTAATAGTTGATCCTCACTCACTCACTCACTCACTCACTGACTGTGTTCTGAAACGGGAACTGTTTCTGGAAAAGCTTCTACTGATATTACTTCAGGCAATGATAACATAAACTGTAATAGTTGATACTCACTCACTCACTCACTCACTCACTGTGTTCTGAAACGGGAACTGTTTCTGGAAAAGCTTCCACTGATATCACTTCAGGAAATGATAACATAAACTGTAATAGTTGATCCTCACTCACTCACTCACTGAATCGGGAACTGTTTCTGGAAAAGCTTCCACTGATATTACTTCAGGAAATGATAACATAAACTGTAATAGTTGATACTCACTCACTCACACACTGTGTTCTGCAATGGGATCACTTTTTAAAAAAACTTCCACTGATATTACTTCTCTCCATGATAGCATTAGCTGTAAAAGTTGACGCACACCCTCCTTCCTCTCTCTCTCTCTCCCTCTGTCTCTCTCTCTCTCTCACTCACTCACTCACTCACTCACTCTGTGCTGTGACACCCAGAAGTACATCATGCTCACTTCAACCCCTACTTTTCAATCAGTCCTAAGTGGATTCAAACTAATGACTTAATTTCAGTTGTGTGTCGGTCGGCAGGTAATTCTGGAGTATGTTAATTACACACACTATTTTCGTGCTGATGCGTCTTCCGTGGATTTATCCTAAAACCACCAGGCTGTAAGTTGGGTGGCAGGGCCTAAAATAACTGACAGCTTTTGAAATCGTGCTTCCTTCTCAATTAACTGGTAATTTGTTTGCTTGTATGTTGGATTGGTAGCTAATTATTGGCGCTAGACATCAGTGAGAAAAATCAAGGTGTTTTCGCAATGTGGACCTGACCTCCTTGCCAATGTGTGATGTTGTTGTTGCAGGTGACGAGGCTGAAAGTGCAGAACTGTCTGAGGTTCGGAAGTTGCAGTGACTGTCTCTCGGATGGGGATCCATACTGTGGATGGTGCTCACTGGAGAAAAAGTAAGACATTGAATAAAAACTTTGTGGTCAGTTTCATTATCAGTTGCATCATGGTCTTCAGTATAAGTTTCATCATCAGCTTCATCATCAGTTTCATCATCATTTTCATCATCATTTTCATCATCTGTCAGTATCTGTTTCACTTAGCTGGACATGTGAGATAGCCTTCATTGCCCATATTTATGATGAAAGGGTTAGTGGTCCAAGTGTCCGCTTATATTACCTAAGTTCTGGGTTCTACTCCCACGTGAGTACAATGTGTAAAGCCATTCTGGTGTCCCCATCAATAACACTGCTGGATTACTGATGTGAACTAGCCCTTAAATGCACATGTACATGGTTCAGGGGTCCCATAAGTGTTTCCTGAACATTGAAGTTATGGGTTCAACATAACTCATTGCTCATGAATCCTGCATCATCATCATCATCATCATCATCATCATCATCATCATCATCATCATCATCATCCCATGATGGAAAACTGAATCTATATGGAAGCCTACTTGTAATCTGAAGACATTCAATAAGACCCCTTGACCAACCGAACAGAATAACATATTCATGACCATATTAGTCATGGTCAGGCTTTGTAGGAGATTTCAATCTGGTATTAATCTATCCAGAGTTAGTCGGCCACAAAACAGATCCAGACAATGGCTTGGTCCTCTGTGTATTGTCCAGTCCTCTGGCAAATGTCATCCTGATTCATGGCGGTCCGGCAGGTGCCCTATCAATGGTAGGCCTATGTATGGGACATCTATCTTCATCACGAAGGTTGGGAGAGTGAGTCACATGCGATAACTGATTGCCCTTTTATGAATGTGCCATTTTGGGGAGAAAAGTATAAATTGTACACGCTTGCACAGCATTAAGCGATATACAAGCACTGGGACATAATGCACAGGATGAAGAGTGTCTTGGGGCTGTTTAGTCAGTCAGTTTGATTGGAACTTCTTTAATGTTGAATATGGAAGTTAACGGGTAAAACCTCATTAACGAGGGGTTAATGAGAGTTGGGAGGAAACTGGAAGGGTTTGCAATTTCCCTTCCGTGTAATCAGCAGGACTAAGCAACTGTTGAATATCTTTTGGATGAAGCTCTGAAACTTTAAATATTTAACAAATTGAAAGTAGCTTCGGCAGATGTTTGGGAAGCAAGCAGATGTGGTTGCAGGGATGGAGGTGTTAGTTCTGCTCCATTTCATGAGATGTGAGCTCAGTAGGACCTTAAATGTATCGCCCTGCAAACTCTCAAGATGAGCTTTTTTCAAATTGATTTTCATGTTTTTGGCGATCTTTTGTGATTCTCTGTTTGGGCACCACACAAAACACATTGCCTGGTTTATTTGGTTATTTAGAATGAATAGAAAATCAATGTTCACGTAATTGTGAAAACTGACTGGTTTTGAAACATCCACTATGACCTTCAAAATGTCCTTCAAATAGTCAATATTTGATTCCTCACATATGTCAATTACCAAGTGTTTGTTTCCGATCCCGGTGATACATCACTAAAATGTTCCAAATGTATATATGGATGTACACAAAACTTTATGAAAGGTAGATTTCAATCTTTAATAGCAAAAATCTTCGAGGTTTGAAATTGTTTGTACTTGTCGATCAATTGTTGTAAGGATATTAAATATCAACTAATGGATTATACGCTGATGTCGCGGTGGTGCTCTGGTAGAATACTAGCTCGAGGATAAATCATTCAGTAAATGGAAACATAACTTCAACAGATAACATATTAACAGAATTTTCAGATCATCAGTCTGGGAATTGACAGCAGACATTTATCGGTGAAAATATGAGCTCTTGCCGACATTGTTGACGCTAATGAGACAATTTTAATTAATGATTTTCTTCTTATCTCTCAATGTTCCCAGTTAGCGAGTGAGGCAAGCTTATTACATTGATTAACATAAATACCGGGAATAGCTATGTTAATAACTGATGAATACTTTGACGACGGAATGTTTGATCGAGGCTATATTGAGATAAGGCCATTTTGACAAGAGTGCTATATATTTTATTTAGACTCTGAAAATGCCAGCCGTAATTCAAAATTTCTCGATGGGTTCACATGACACTTTCATTATCCAACATTGTAAATAATTAGGCATTTTAATTAATTAATGTCTTGATTGATTTTACTAATGACTTCTTCCAAGCACACCTGAGGTTTTGTTAGACTAACCGTAAATTAGAGAAATGTTTTGAAAGAAGCTGCTCTTTTAGTCGTGATTACTGGAGAGAATTAAGTCTTTCGATGTTGGAGTTATAAATCTCTGTCTGTTAAATCCATACAGATTTCACTGGGACTGATTTAATACTGCATAACTGTTCATTGTTCGAAAACAAAGGTGACTTGTTGAATGTTTCGATGGTATAAACATATCAACTCTGACGTAGAAGAAGCATTGTTTATCTTTAAGAAGAATTATCGTAACAAAAAAGCTGACTTGGATGGGTTAAGGTATTATGGAATTGAGTGATATGTGAATTAACAATGACAGCAGTTATCTCAAAACATCCATCTTGTTTTAAGGATGAGACTGTGTTTGATTTAGTGGACATAGTAGATATAAAAATTCTGTTTAAAACTTTGTAATTCTCCTAGTCTTATTTTTAAGAGATTAGTTTTAGAGAAGTAAAGAATGTTAAAACATGTTTTAATGAACAGGCATCTTCAAGAGGATATATATATTCAATTGTTAAATTGTTGCATTTGTGACTTGACATTGGTTGCCTCCCTGATAATAGCCTAATGGATAAAGTGTTTGCTCAACATATCGAAGGTCTGGGTTCAATTCCAAATATTCTGTAAATGAAGCCAAATTGCCATGTCCCCGGCTATTGATGGAACATAACACTAAGAATTTGATAAGACCTCACTCACTCACTCAACTCACTCCACCAGCCTGGCAGCCAATCAATCAAATCATTGGTACTTGACCTCCAATGAACTTGTTCAAAATTGATTTTTTTACTCTGACCCCAATCCACGAGACTAGAAGTGGGATTGATCTGTCTTGTGATAAAATATATACAACTCAATTACTTACACATACATCCTTGACCATTTGTGCCAAGGGTGGTTGTCATGGCAACCAGACTTAACACACTACACTGAATAATGCCTGTTCTTGTGAGTGGAAAATGACATTATTGTGTTAGAGTGTTACATACAGTGAAATTGCATTACTGGGTATACCATTCCTTGTTGAATCATCTAGGTCAATGTCAATGTTATATACAGCGATTCTGTGTTAATCCGGGTGCACCAATAATTGTAAAACCATACAGATTATAAACCTCCCATTTGAGGATGAAATTGTGTGTGACAATTGATATTTTTCTTGTCCATATCAGGCGGTTGGGTAGCCTAGTGGTTAAAGTGTTCACTTTACCCAGGTTTGATTCCCCATATGGGTATGATGGGAGAAGACATTCCTAGTGACCCTGCTGAAACATTGCTAAAAACTGATTAAAAACTCACTCACTCACTCATTTTCTCATCAATGATTATTGACTGAAAACAGCAGTGCAGGAGAGGTATTAGACTAACAACTAGTCTCTGAAATGAACATATTTTACTGAAAAAAGTTCATAGTAAAAAAAAATTATAATATAATGAAAAGGATCCCTGAGACTTTAAGAAATCTAGACTTGCCACATTTTGAAGACTTGCGTGGGCTTTCTTGGATATATTTGCTTCAGGGTCTGTACGACAGACTAGAGAGGTATATACTTTCCTGATAACATTTAGTTTCATCAATGTTTTAGCTACCTTTGAACAATATATGGTTGAAATATACAACTCCATTTAATTTGATAAAAGGAACCCCAGTGAGATGGATGATAGGGAACCTGAACCTGTGGGGAAAATAGACTTGCTTGCAAAATATGATTCATGGATTGTGAGACACACTGCATGTATGGTATGGATTGTGAGACACGCTGTATGGTATGTGAGTGCAATACATCGAGAGGGTGTGGGTTAATCACCACAGATGTCTTAGAATTTCAATTACATCTCGGTAAAACTGTATCTGTTAGAGCCCCAATATGGCTTCAGTGGGTTGGTGCAAGCTTCTGGGCAAAAGAAAGTATACAAAATAGAAATGGCTAATCGATAAGGATATATTTGGCATAGGTGTGATGGTTGTGGTTCAGACCTTAAGTTTTGCAACTGTTTACACTATTGTAACATTTGATAACGTCTATGCTGTTTTGAACAACTATAAGAGTTCTATGGATATACTTCTTTTTTATTGTTGTAAGCTACGTTCATCATACCAACTTTTGAATGCCACTTAAAGAAGTTATAATATTTTGGTCAAATCCAATTTTCAAGTGAATACTTTCTTTTGACTAGTAGTGTATGTATTATGCAGTTAGCAGCCTAGAAGTCAATCCAATTGTATTGGTGCATCGTTCAGAACTGAATCATTTATGTAGAAGGTATGGGTATCAGTTTAGCTTGCTCAGCATATGCCACAACCTTGGACGAAGGTTTAAAAACCCTGGAAAAATCAATATAACCTGTCTTAATGGGTTTCTTTGCTTCAGTGTATTTACTGTGTTGTGGGTTGTGTGAGGAGGTAGGGGACATGAGGACTATCTACAGCTTCTCTCCATTAATGCCTCTGGAAGATTAAGTCAAGTCATGTTCTCGGGACCCTTAGACATGGAACTCTTGGACATCTGTTGGCGTTGACATAAGCTATGAGATTAATCCCTGACAAGGCCACATTCAGCTTGGTGTGGAACTTGAACATACTTCTACAATCTGAGGGGAAGAGTCCTTCCTTCATCCAATATTTGGTCTTGAGTTATTATTGTGAATCCTACTTGAATATTTTTTTCCTGAAACTGGAACCATGTAATGGTGTACTGGAGGATGGATATTTGTAGAAGTGGTACTTAAACATCCCTTGTCAATACTTATTCACACGACTTTTCAAATTATCCAGTTTGATATGAAATAAAACATGACATATTTTTTTATTTCATGGAAGATAATTTTGGCTGTCTTTTAGACTAATTTATGTCATGTATCTTCTTTAACAATTTCTACAAAAAACGTGGGTGGCACTGTGCTGTAAGGTGCAGGAATTCGCTGTGTAGAGTTGTATCCCTTTGGCATCCTAATGACAGGTTTGAATCCCGTATAGGTTTGTCAGCACCATACCTGCATTCATGGTCTTACCAAATTGGTCAATGTTTGACACCTGCATCAGTTCTGCATTTCCTATTCCACCATTGAGCTGCCATGTCATGGTATAGCTTGATTATTGTTTAAATCAGAGTTAAACCCGACTCACTCACTCACTCAGTTCTGTTTCCAGACATCAATACTATTAAGTGTAATTTTTTTTACTTCATAATGGAAATTAACATGGTAATGCTAATCATATATCATAATTACAATATCTTGGGTCCATTCACTGACCAGATGACTACCGTGATTTATCCACTGGCAACACAGACAGTTCCTATAATGGAAATCTGAGCATGAATTGCAGCAATCCTTTAATAGACGTTATCTGCTACTGCCAAGGCAATAAAATACTGATTGTGAATGTGGAATTGTGGGTAGCTTGTGCTTTCCCTTGTTGAGATAGGTTTTATGAGACATGCGTCAACATGCAGACAATGGCTGAAACGATGTTATCTATTTCACCGTCTGTTAATGGTAGCGAAATAGTATAGACACACGTATAGAATAGTCAGACGAGTCCTCATGCATATTTGATTCAATGTCATTGAATATCCTCAACAAATGATTATTTTTACGCATGTATTTTTTTTTTCGAATTTGAACTCAATGGTGTTTGTAATGATAGAGAGTCTCCACGCCTCGGTTGACCTGTTCTGTATAAAAGAATGATAAATTTGAACACTTCTGTTCATCTGTCGCGCCATATTGTCACGGAGCCCAGTAGATAAAATCAGTCTCGTGCTGTGTCGATCCTTTGAGGACAAGTGTTTGATGGTTGTGGAAGAAAATTAAAAATTTACACGAAATGTTATGATGTTATTGAAGTGATGTGTTGGGATGGAGATTCCATCTCTGTATGAATAATCATCATAATTGACGTAGCTTAGTCAGGCTGTGAGATGGCACGAGGGAAATGGCCGTGTGTCAGTATCGTGCTGTCATTGTTCAGAGTTTAATAGGAGAGCATATGCAACTGTCAAGGAATTGTGGATTAAATCTTCATCTGGTGATTATTTTTTTAGTTTGACTGAAGTAATATAGATCGTTTTGTCTCAAGGGACCTAATGACCATTTACTAAATACATTGCCAGTATGTTAATGCTGATTTGGCGATGGCAGTCGTTTTTGCAGTGTTGTAATCAATGTGTCATATTGATGACACGCAATCGTCAGTCATCAACTTCCTCCTCTTTGTCATTATGGCAGGACGGGGGGGTAGCCTAATGGTTAAAGCGTTGGCTCGTCACGCCGAAGACCAGGGTTCGAATCCCCACATGGGTACAATGTGTGAAGCCCATTTCTGGTGTCCCCTGCTGTGATGTTGCTGGAATATTGTTAAAAGCAGCGTAAAACCAAATGACAGTTTGTCATTATGGCTTAGGGTGGTCCTGTGGTTTGAGTGTTAGCACATCAATAGTTTGATTCTGTTATGAATAAACCTACGAAAGTATGTAAGGCCATGTCATTCAAAGTAGTTTTATATGTGGCGGTTACTTTTTTTCACTGTATTTTTTATTCTATTTGTTGGCTGAACAAATGATCAATCGCTTGTGATTATTGGGTAGTGTACACCTGACTGGATTGCAAAGGATCATCATCATCATCATCATCAGTATCATCATCATCCCATGATGTAAAATGGAATCTATAGGGAAGCTCATTTGTGATCGGAAGACATTTGATAAGACACCGTGATGAACCGAACAAATTGATATATTCGTGACCATATTGATCATGGCTTTAGAAGCAGATTTTAATCTGGTATTAATCTATCCAGAACTACATTAGTCTACCACAATACAGATCCAGACAGTGGAACATTTACACTCACCATTTTAGATTTCACTCACCTTGTTCAATACACTGAAAAGGAAATAAATTTAAGGTTACTTATGAAAAAAAGTAATCAGTATCATCATTCAATTATTTAAAAAACAGACAATATCAGGATGGAGTCTGAAGACATCTGTGTAGGCAGTGTTCGGCTAAAAATAACCTGGTGTCTGGAAAAGTTATTAATTAGCAGTAATAAACCCCAGTTAGAGAAGTGTCTCCACCCCTAGGATATTATTGACCTTTTATCCCCTACTCCCGTGTAATCCCAAAGTGAGGCTAGCATTCCTGCAGAAACACGGACAGCCAAGTCGGCAGTGTCAAACGATGAATTACTTCATCAGAGGCTTATGTTTTATTTATGATCTGTTAAATATCCTTGAATATTTCATTACTGTTTTTGCGATGATGCATTGGAATTAATGTGAAGATTCGGCAACACAAATGGGACTCCTGAAATATGTTTAAATGTTTGGAACCTACGATGTCAAGATGTTATGTGATAAAATAGATGTTTATGTTCGTTTGAGATGCTGTACAGACATGTTTATTGTTTTACAGGGAAATTTAATAGAAATTTGAAAAAGTATATTGTAAAAACAGAAAGTTTAGCAAAATCTTAAATCTTGATTATCGTTTAGACAGTATTTTCACACTGGGTTATTTTGTCGAGAAGGTTTTAAGGGGGATCTTTATTGCAAATATGAAATAAACTGTGGGTGGTCTTAACTGTAAAGTGTGTTGATATTTGAGGTCCCTTGGGCCACATGGAAGGTGTTGTTGACTAAACTGTGGATTGATTGGACACAATGTCTGGCCTGGATGGTAATGTGTCATCAGTGTACACTGACTGGAATCCTGCTGTTCAACACTGATATAATTTGCCTCGCACATTCTAGTCTTAATTTGTCTTCAGCAACCCATGCTTGTGGTAAGAGGCGACTAACGTTCAGGCTGACTGACTTGGTTGACACATGTCATCGGTTCCCAATTGCGTAGATTGATGCTCATGCTGTTGATCACTGGATTGTCTGGTCCAGACTCGATTATTTACAGACCGCTGCCATATAGCTGGAATAGTGCAGCGTAAAACTAAACTCACTCATTCACTTAATTTTTGACAGACTGATGGATAATTGGTCATTGTCTGGAAACAAAATTCACTCACTCGATTCACTATATGTGTGAGTGCTGTCTTGAGATACTGTCTGTCTTATACTGAAATTTATCCAATATCTGGGGCGGCGGGGTAGCCTAGTAGTTAAAGTGTTTGCTCATCGCCCCGAGAACCTGGGTTCTATTCCCCACATAAATACAATGTGCGAAGCCTGCACCTGTCCCCCACCATGATATTGGTTGAATATTGCTAAAAGCGGCATGAAAGTGACAAACTAACTATTAAATGTGTCTTGTATTACAGATGTGTACTGAGAAGCAGCTGTCCGAACTCCGAGGATCCATCGATGGCAAGATGGCTGCATGGTCGGGCCAATCAGTGCATCTACATCACAGAGATCTCCCCCAAAACTGTCTCAGTCACAAAAGTGGAAGAGGTCAGTAGTATTTACTAAATTTCATATTTAATGTAAACTTGCCCTTGTACCTGATGTTCCTGATCGTTCCACGCCAGTCGTATCTATGTTAAAGTGTTGTTTACGTCATCTTAGCGAGGCTTTGAACCTGGAGGTATATGGGTGTTGTTTGTTCAGGATGGAACCTGGAGGTACTTTTGTAGGGTCAGTGTTAGGTCATACATTCTTTTAACCTACTTGGGTGGTGGGGCAGCCTAGTGGTTAAAGCATTTGCTCGTCACACCAAAGACCTGGGTTTGATTCCCCACATAGGTCCATTGTGTGAAGCCCATTTTTGTTTCCCCCACTGTGATATTGCCGGAATATTGCTTGGAACGGCATGAAACTAAATTCACTCTCTCACTAAGATCTGCATCATGTTGTCTTTCCTCACCCATCAACGGAGAGCGGAAGGTCGCGGGTTCGATCCCCGACCGCGTCATACCAAAAGACGTTAAAATATGGTACTTGTTGGTCCCTGCCTGGCGTTCGGCATTAATGGGTACAACAAGGACTGGTCGGCTCGGAGTCAGTATAATGTGTCTGAGTGGGGTATTCATGCTTCACTGCGGCATGGTATCTCAGTGAGCTAGCACTATAAAACCAGCTTAAGTCTGGGCTAGTACAAGCAGCCGCACATACACATACACACGCATGCACGTCGTCATATGAGCGAAATATTCTCAAGCACAACGTTAAACCCAATTTCACCTCACCTCACCTCACCTCACCTCACCTCACCTCACCTCACCCATCAAGCAGACATGTTGTGATGTAATGGAGATACTGAAGCAGATTTGGAACCAACCCACTTGTTCTGTTGCAGCTGCATCTGACCATCCCACAGCTGCCGATGACCAGCACCTACAGCTGTGTGTTCCAGCAACTCAGCTGGAGCTCCAAGGCAGAGTTCTGGTACTTTGGCGCCAAGTGCATGACGCCCAACTTCACCGATCTGGGACTGTCACTCGGAGACAAAGGTAAGAGCTTCCCACACAGTTAGAACATATGTTTCTGTGTAGAAGATGCAAGACCCAAGATCCAAGCTCAACAAGCAACTCAAGTTCAAGGGTAGTGTTGAGCTGAAACTCCTAGTTGCGATATGCTATGTCAATGTAGCAGGGTGTAGAGTCATCCCATAGATGACATCGCTTCCTTGTCAGCTTGCTGACGGGTAAGCCCTTTAGTCATGTGGACAAGATGTCCGATTTCAGATCAGAAGGCCCGCACACACACACACACAGGGGTGGGTCACACACACACCCCCTCATTTGTCCTGAAAGTTTATTAAATGACCATTGAAACTTTGGTGAAAATGTGGTGTGCACCCTCCCTTTTCTCAATAGTGTGCAACCCCCCACCCCCACCCCCCCTTTCTCAAAAAGCTGTATCCGCCACTGGGCCACTACATCAACATGTATAATATGCTTAGTATATTTAGTGTAATACCACTAGACGTATGACGTCTTAATGGTTTACAGTTATGATGTCACAGTGGTAATACCTCTGTCGCAATGGCATTAGGCCTTGCTTGACTCGTTGAAAGCTCAGAGTCATCACACTGTAGGCAGTTTCTATCAGTTTATGTTGGAGAGTAATAAACAGAATACTAAACTCGCTCTTTCTCGTTTGATACCAAATCATGAACTCGTTTAATAAAAATGGTATTCCACGGAAGGTCATTTATCAGTATTAAAAACCTCTGGACCATCTTCGCAACTCTTTTGGTCTTCCCAACTTAAACTAAGTCAAGGAACAACCGGTTACCTTACAATGCTAACAATGGTTCATCTGTCAGGCCATACAAACCGATAAACTACAGTAATATGTCATGTGAATCAGGTGTACATGAAAACAATCAATATACTTCTCAAAAGAACTTACAGAACACCTGATTGTATCATGTTACTAAAGATAATTTGTCATGCCATTCCAAGATATTAACATGAAAGAACAGGAAGAGAAACATATGGACTGACATCTTCTTTATTGCAGTAGACACGACGTTTCGGTGTAGATGCCACATAAAGAAGTTTTTATGTTTGACCTTTGACTTTATGGGCTAGTATACATAGGTCAGTAATAGATTATCATCCAAGTCCATATGATTGCTTTTACTACAGGATTTTCATAGTTTTGTATTAAATAATTTGATTATGGCCAGTAAAGGGTATCTTGTACTTAACAGAAACAGAATTAGTATTAGAACTCCTGTCTTCTCCCCCTTAAAACTATAAATCACAGACATTATGGCTGAAAAAAATAATTTAATTTCTGTTGTGTTTTGTTTCATTATTCTAAAGGACAGGCTGCCGATAAGTGTAAAAAATTGGTCAATACCTCCATCCATCATAGGCGACAGACGGGGTTAAAACAAGCTACCCTGTCAGAGGGTGTGACGATTCCGGAACGACCATCAAGTCCGGCATCTGTCAGTCGTTCTATCTTCCCTCGGTGTTGCAATACAGACTGTCACAATCCTACCACACACTGTCAGTTCCTCACAAAAATATCTCCCTGTCACAAGACCCTTGTGAAAATATTGCATGCTGGGAACTTGTTCAAAAATAGCCACTTGTCACTGAAACAGCGTGCAAAGCTGCAGGCTCTCCTGGTGTCGAGTCGGCACTGGAAGATGATGAATTGAGAGGGCATACACCAGAGACGAAAAGTGTTTTGTCTATTTTTGAATGGTGAAGGTGTACTTCCTAGAGACTTGCCTTCATTGGCGTGGGCAATAAATGCTTGGTGCCAAGTCGAGGCATAATGGTGGTCTCAGCCAAAAACAGGTTAGATGGCTGCCAATTTAAACTTGGTTTAGTGCAATTGAATCAAAATGTTTGACACCATCCATTTGGAGTTGATTTTACCGTCTTGTGCCAAAGCCAAGATTTAGTGTCCTGGAGTTCTTCAGAGTGTTAACACTTCTGTGGAGTGTTGTCAAGACACGATTAAACCTAGCATGACTAAGGCACTTTGAAAAACATAAAAATATCATCCCAGACTGCATATTTTTATATAAAGCAATAATAAGAAATTTAGGGGTGGTGGGGTAGCCTAGTGGTTGAAGCGTTTGCCTGTCATGTCGAAGACACAAGTTCGATTCCCCACATGGGCATAATGTGTGAAACCCGTTTCTGGTGTCCCTGCTGTGATATTCCTGGAATATTACTAAAAGTGGTGTAAAACTAAACTCACTCACTCTTGGAAAAATATTGCTGAAGGCTAAACCATGTGAGCTCGCTGATGGCAAATCTCTCAGCTGTTGCAGTATTTGCATATCACTTCCATCTATCATTTCTATCCAACGTATGCTGATAGCATGATGTGCCAATAGTCAGGAACTGAAATAATTTATGCTTCCTGCCCATTATTGTCCCGCTTGATCAGTGTAATAACATCTCAAAAACAGTTATGTGATACTGCCATCTGCTTCCAACACAATATATGACCTTCAGAATATGGTAAGCAGCACTGTCAGCCAATTGTTTCCTCTCAAAATGTTCAATGTTGTTGATTCATCACACCTCGTGACAAAGAACACGCTTACATTACATATTGGCCCAACAGCTGTGATGGTTTTAAATGCATGTATTAATTATAAGTGTGATGTGCAAATAAATCAATAGTTATCGTGCGTGATAGTTTTTTTATTCTTGTCATTGAATTGTAACTAGATCCACTGGTTTTAATAATATCTCAGTTTATAATTTATGCTTCTGTTTGGTACAAAGCTGGACGTTTTAAAAAATTTGGTTAACAAATCCTAGACTATGAACAATTTATATTTGACACAAAAATTAAAATTAAAAGCGTGCATATTTCATTCTGCCAACCAGAAATAACTTATGTTTAAAAATATTTACAGTCGTTATCAATATGAATGAATTATTTAGAACACTATCATCACAACAAACAAAAAAGTCTTTTATCTCCCAACCCTACGTTTATCGTACCTGCTTAACATTTTGAGGAAATATGAAACAATGAAAACGTATTATTCACTGACTTACTGACCTGGATTTCAGCACAAAATATATAAACAAACGAAAAAAGCCTGTCCTGATAGCTGAGGAAGTTCCGGGTGAAACTTGACTTGCGTACAATCAGTTATGTTGAGTGTCAGAGATAAAGCTGTTTCTTTATGGGCAGACCGATGTTGTTGAGATTCTGTGTCTTATCAGGGAGCCCTGACTATCTGGGGCTCTTAATGCATTATCAGTGGCAATAAAATACATTATCTGGTGTAGATACTAGAGCTCTGTGCTATCTGAGGCGGTAGTTTATTCAGATGCATCCTCATTCCTGTGAAACAGGTGGTTGTAATGGTATAAATTGAATAATATTTTGAAAATTAGCAGGATGTTATGGTAAATAATTTAATGCATCATAATGCATAGAGATAAGTGAATGGGATTGCATGGTGCTCGGGGAAAAAATTATTTTAGTTTAATATTGATGAGTATAGGAGCAAGGATTTGAAACATTTGATTATTTTTTTTAATTTAATTTAATTTAATTTTTTTTTGACGTCACTTTGTTATTATCAAAAGACATGAAAGTAAATTCAGTTAGGTCATGTGACCATTTGCTGAATGGTTTGTAGATATACTGAACAGAAAATGTTAAGGATCATGACTGCTTTTGTGGATCTGTTCATGACATTATGTAGTCAGTTTCTCTTTGAAATAATATCCCCCAAATATTCAGGATCCCACAGTTTATTTGTTAAGTATACGAGCAATGTATATGGTAGGAAATGTTTTACAAAATACTAATTCTCTGTTAGTAAAGAGTTTTCCATAACCACTTTGATAATTATTGATTCTTGTCTGCCAATACTGAAATCTGAGAGGATTCTGTTTCGGAATTGGTCCCTTGACTGTTGTTCATGATATCAATCACTAGGATTATCTGTCCAAGACTTTATTGTTTACAGACTGAGGTCAGTCATACAGCTGAACTATTAATGAATGTGGCTTTAAAAATATGAATGAAAGCTAATTATGGGGTTTCAATGGAAATATATCCATTACATGCATGTGTTGAGTTTGTATGTCCCACAATGCATTGTAACACAACTCTATGACCCAGATAGGTGTCACATCACAACGATGAGCGTCATTACAGGACTAGTACATGAAAGACTTGGTGGTATATCACAGTGTAAAACCATACCCTCTCATGTTGCAGCCTCCCAAACTGTCACTCTGGCCCTCAACTCCAGCGAGACCGGAAAACTCTTTGTCACCAGGAAGTTCACCTTCTACAATTGCAGCAACTTCAAGACGTGAGTTGTCTCCCCTTATGTTTCAATTCCAAAATTATGAAACTATAAATTCTCAGTGTTACTGAAATAGTTTCTAATATACTACTCCACTTTTATTAGGGATCTTTGTTGGATTCGATGATACACTAATCATCAGAATGACGAATAGTGAGCCTTATCAAAAGTTGAGTAGTTTTTCTAACTGGAATAATGGCATATTGATAAATGTTTTCAGTATTCTCCAACCTGTTTTAAATTAAATCGTGTGGGGGTGTCCCTGTACGTTTCACTGCCCTTTGTCAACAGGATCTTATTTGGAGTTCTGTGTTGTTGATATTGCAGGTGCTCGTCCTGTGCAAGTTCCCCGTATGTGTGCGACTGGTGTATCTATGAGAACTCCTGTCACCACAACACCCTCCAGTGTCAACAGGGCATCATCCGGTCACAGGCAGTAAGTAGATGACCAACCATCAACTTAATCTCATCATTTCTTGGACACCCCCCTGTGGTCATCTGGCTCAAAGATGTGTCCAGTATCCATTTCTTGTAAACATTTTCTCCCAAAATTGACATTTAGCGGCCATGATGGTGATGAGAGTGGCTAGTATTGGCATGACCATCTTTGACTCTTCAGAGACACAGATAGCACAGTGGGTTATGGTGTGCTATTCACTGTCCCTTAGTGATCAGTAAGTGAGGATCAAGGGTTTGAATCCCATTATAATCCTTGGTTTGTCAGCACCTTACATAGTTTTTATCAAAGTGTTAAAAATCTGCATCACAACTGGATTTCCTCACTCACTGAGAAAATATTAAGTTTTATTTGCACAATTTCAGTGAACTATTTTCTTCAATTCCCAGAGCACCTTGCCAGGTAAGCGCGGGGCTGTCCATTGCCCACGGATTGAAACCAAGGTCACAGACAACATCTATCTGCCTGTTGGAGTCCGCAGGAAAGTGCTTCTCAAGGGATACAACTTCCCACGCCTCGGGGTGAGTCGCCTTTATCAGAGCCAAGATTCTTATATCAGGAATGACATCTTACTTGGAATTCCACAGATTTGGAATCCTGCCCATAAAAATGTCTGTAAATCTTTTAAATTGTTCCAGTTTCCAAACCCAGACCCAGTGAAACATTTTTAGCAATCGTCACCCCTCGAGAAAGCAACTGCGTAACTATCAGATAGTTGGAGCTATTTCTGAGGCAGCAGTTCTTTATTCACTTAAAACCACATTAATTTCTCTGCTGTGTTTAGTCTCTTGATAATAGACTTGTAACATTCTGATAACAAGAATCTTGTATGTCATCGTGTAGACTTCAGGGAATATTTTTTGTGCTTCCAGTCAACGTTTGGTAACTATGTGTGCGAAGTGGACACAGGGTCTTACACATACAAGGCAGCGGCTGAGAGACTGGACGATACCCACATCACATGCGACATGCCAAAGGTGGGCATATTCTTAAATATTGCTGACTCCATAGTGGAGACTACTTCACCAACAAGTCCTCTAAGAATAGACTTTACTAAGCATAGATAATACTTCCATATTGACTTGACTCATACATATGTCCCTAGTATCTCATACAAAGTAAGAGCTGCTATATTGGGACTGGGTGGTCTGTTATGGGTGTACCCTGGGATATTAGTATTCTTTCAAACACTGTTTTCCCGGCAACTACTCAATAATTACTTACAGGCCACAGTTGTCTATTGACAATATTGCTAACCCCAAAATAGCATATATCTTCTTATCAGACATTGATCACAATGCATCTTTTAATATATTTTTATATGCATGACAATCATAATATTTGTTTGGTGTGTGAATGTTTAAGGGTGCTTTGTCTTAGAATATGTTTTATGTTTTAGGAAATAGTATCTTTTAAATGGTAATGTGTTTCAGATTGAGTATGACCAGGCCCAGGGTAAGCTTGAAGCCCTCATGAAGGTCTACTGGGGCAACAAGTTCTACCTGGAGACAACGACACCCCTCATAGGTGAGCCTAAAACTTACAGTCGTTAACAAGTCAAAGTTTTTAGAATTTATTATCACTGAATGATTCATGGTTCCAACCAATTTAAGGATGTTGCCATAGCCCTGTGATCAGACATGGTGTGCCCAGGTTCGATTGCCCACATGGGTACAATGTGTGAAGCCCATTTCTGGCGTCGCTCTGCAGTGATATTACTGGAATAATGCTAAAAGTGGCGTCAGTCAGTCAGTCAGTCAGTCGTACCCTGACCATGTGTGGAAAAATACTCAGGATATCACAGGATTGTCTGGTCAAGATTGGATCATTAGTAACCTGCCTTATGAAGTTTGTATATTAGTGCAGTATGAGTTCTAAACAAACCAATTTACTCCTGTCCATCTTTCCCCAGCCACGGTGTACAAGTGTGACGTGTTGGCCAACTACGAGTGTGGACTCTGCCTCAACCTCAACTACACGTGGGCGGCGCTGGAATGTATGTGGTGCGACAACACCTGCAAGTACAGCCCCAACTGTAACTCACGATCAGTGTCCTCCTGTCCAGCGCCAGAAATAACTCGGGTATGTACTCAACGACTTGGACTTTCTGGTTCTGTCTTAGCCATTAGGGTGCAGTTGTCCAAAAAAACTAGTGCTTTGACTGTCGTATGCCATATTAAGGTAAGGGAGTTGCGATCACCTTAGTGTAAGATTTCTTTGTACAACAGCACCCAGGTCCTATTCAGCAGAGCAATGCCAGTACTACTACTGTCGTAAGTCAGTGTTAAAGTTTAGGAGTTTCAATCTTCTTCGCGTTAAAATTGCATCATGGGAAACGCACAGGATCCTGTTCAATGAAGTGATCTATGGCTGTCATAGCTCTTTGCTGTAAAATGTTTCTTTGAACAAATTGTTGTTGTCCGTTGTTATTGTAATGTAGTCCTGAAAGTGGTGTAAGACCTTTCTCATGCTCTTAGAATGTGAACAGCTCTGATACTGTTCACTCTTTCACTCACTCATCCACCCACCCACTCATAGATGTTCAAATTGTGTAGTCTTAACTCCCATTCCCTGCGATCGCTCTATAGAATGGACCCTAGATCTAAAGGATGTCTTGCTAAATGCTGACTGACTGTTCAGCTCCTGAACAAATAATATTCAATCAAGCAGAAGAATCTCTTTACAATCACTGTCAGGAACACACCTACAACATGCCAATAAATGCTCCCAGAGTTGACATATCCACAATTATCTAGAATTCCTGTTTTCTAATTCCGTGATGGGCAGAAAGACTTGTCGGACACACATCCTGCTTAAAATTCCAAGCATATCTTTCCCTTCACTTCAAACCATTAATTCCAGGACAGATCTGAGCTTTTGTCTTTGAACATGCACCTATAGGAGATTGGCTCCCCACATAGTGACACAGTCTGGAATATCTCACAGCACTGACATCAATAGGATTTCCGTCTGCTGTCTCCCAACAATATTCATTAATGTCCTTTGAAACTGTGCACAAGAAATAAATTGAGATTAAAAGGCATGCAAATATCTCGCCCAGGTTATCAGGGTGTAGTTAGGATCTTCTTTCCAATTTATCATGTAACATGCTGGTGTATGAATAATGAAATATGGTTGATAGTAACAGCATGAAGTAGACGATGCGTGTGCTGGTCCGACTTGTTGCCGTTAACGAGGCGGGTCCAGTTGGGAGGGTTACTTATGCAGACGTGACATCAGCCATTATAGGCATGTTTGCAGACAGAGATCTTTGCAGATGACTCTGGGTTGTTTCAAGAGTACTGTTGCTTCGCTGCCTGGATTAACAAGTAGTCCTGAACTGTGTACAGATGTTGGCGTCTGCTTCAGCGTTTGCTTGCAGTGTAGTGCAGTGGTTAAAGTTTTTGCTTGACAGTTTGAGAGTAGGTTTTATTGTAAACGTTGTGTGAAGCCCGTTCTTGGTGTCCCTTTCTCAGTCTATAGTGAATCGGTACAAAATGTATTAAAGTGCAGAGTTTCTTTTTGCTTGACAGTATGAGAGTGGGTTTATTGTCCACATTGGTTGAGTGTGTGAAGCCTGTTCTTGGTGTTCCTTGCATTAATGTCACTGGATGCTGCAGGGAAAGACCCCTTTTCTCAGTCTATAGTGAATCGGTACAAAATGTATTAGTTAAGAGTTTCTTTTAATACCCTGTTTCACTTGCTCACACTGTATTTCAGTCACTGACACTGTCATCACTAAATTTTCCATCCTCACCCAGGCCCTCACTTCTATTTTTTTATTCACCCAGTTTTATATTTAGTCACTCTTATAGAATAGAATAGAATAATACTTTAATGCCTTTTCAGGAATTTGTGAATAATACAATTTTAATAATAATAATAATAATAATAATATAATTATTTACCTACTCATTGACTCACTCACTCGCCCACTCACTCCTAGACTAACGCAAGTCTCTGAATATATATAATTTTGATTGTAACAGATAAACCTGTTTAATTTGAAAAGGAGCCCCAGGGAGACAAGAGGAAATCTACACTTGCTTCATTTAGGGCTTTAGCATTGCAGGGAAGGCTTGGCTGCGAGAAAATAATATGGTTCAGGGACTGTGAGACAGACTAACTCACTCCTTTCTTCATTCGCTCACCCATTCTCTCCTCATTTAATCACTTCCTTCCTCACTGACTTCCCCAGTCACTCACTCTTCCTTTCTCAATCAAACATCAATCAATCAATCAATCAATCAGTCAGTCAGTCAATCAGTCATCTAGATGTTGCAAGAACTAAGCTGCCTGCATGCATGTCATCACCCCCCTACATCATCAATTGTCATTTATGTCATCAACCTCTGGTTTGAGATCCAGAATTACTGACATACCTCATGAAATGGCTTAAATATTACACATGTCACTAACTCACCTGCAACAGTTAATAAGTTCTGTCAAATTTGAATAAAAGAATTTAAGAATGGTTGAATATGTTTTTCAGGTATTTCCGTTATCGGGGCCCATACAAGGTGGAACAAACGTTACCATCGAGGGAAGCAATCTTGGCTCCACGTTTGAAGATATTGAGAATTCTGTATTCATCGCAAGTGTCAAATGTATGCCATACCGCCATCTCTACTCTCCATCAAAGAGGTAAGAAAAAGACATTCATTCAAATCTTTGCCGATTACAAAAAGAAGCCATTTAAATTGAAGCGCCTTATCAGTTTGTCAAATTGTATATTGACCAGACGGATTGAGGGATATTTTTTCTCGGAATAATAAATTACATCTGTCATGAAAATGAGAGACAATATTTCTGCATTCGTTTAAGCAGAATTCTGCGAAACTTCATATGTCAGTTTCTGATCAATGTCTTTATATGCAAAAGGCAACATATCAATTTGAGATCATTGAAGAAAATATTGCAATATTTTAAAGGAACGGTTTGTAAAAAATACACTCAAATGATTAGTTCCGAAACAGCTTTTGTGTATCTGCCAAACATGTAATTTGTCCATTGGTTTGACAATGAAATTGCCTTGCGCTGCCCCTGTAGTTTTGAAATGACTTGCTTGTCATTTAAAGAATATGATGTTTTGTCTGAATACAGCTGTGTAGTGTTTGGGTTTTGACACGGGCGTTTTGATCAGTTGGTAATTAATCTACGGAGGTTGGACACATTTGTTTAATGTTGCCAAGAAGGGATTGTGGGATGGCCGACCAGTGTACGCATTTGTTCGGCATGCAGAAGGGTTCAATTCTCCACATGGTACAGGATTTCAGAGAAAGACTGACAGCTATTGTCTGGGTGAAATGAACAGTAGATGGTCTGAAACAGGGAGACATGGCTTGAGGCTAGTGATGCCCATATCATGCCCTCACTATTATATTGCTGGAAAAAATGATAAAACTGCTGAAAACTACACAAACATTGATATTGTATGTAGATTATATTATTTCACACAAGCAAAATAATTCAATCTTCAAACTTTTCTGATAGATGAAGTATTTAAAGTTCAATATATATTATAAACAATTGTCCATTTTAAGGCTTGTAATTATTGGTTTCTTCCAGAATCGTGTGTCGTGCCGATTGGCGAGGTCAGGTTGCTGAGGGTCATGTGACAGTGAAGATCGGTGGCTCTGAAGCACAGTACGGCAAAGCTACGTTTCACTATCAGGTACACACTAAGACCAATGTAGACACTAGGTACAGGATCCATCCTCGGTTAACAAGGGTAATTCATCATCTAAGTAGCCTGGACAGGTTCACCATACCTTTATAACATCACATCTCATTTTTCAATCTCGGTGTAATTTTCTGGAATAGTTTAGATTTGCAAATAACTTTTGTAAACTAATATGTGGAGCTTGTGGTAACAGGAGCAGATGAGGATGTCTTTATATAACAAGAATAGTAATATTATCAATTATTGTTATTGAATGCAATATTCCTTGCTACATATTTTCTGGGACATAACAATTACTTTGGTCAATGGGTGGTGTGGTAAGTCTAGTGGTTAAAGCATTTGCTCTTCATGCCAAAGACATGGGTTCGATTCCTCATATGGGTACAATGTGTGAAGCCCATTTCTGGTGTCCCCTGCCATGATATTGCTGGAATATTGTTAAAAGTGGCATAAAACCATACTCACTCACTCACTCACTACTTTGGTCAAGTATACACTCCAGTTGAGTTGTCAGCTTCCTGGGGAGTATTGAGTGATCCTCCATGTTAAATAATGGTTTAAGATGAACAAGGCTGAAACATTCACCGAATGTTAAACTCTTTGACACAAATTAGAAAAGTGTTCCAACATTTTGTACTTGATGCTGACAGAGTCCCCACCTGGAGTCCATCTATCCAGTGAATGGTCCGAAAGCAGGGGGGTCCCGGATTACTATATCTGGACGTAACCTCAACACTGGCGGACATATTGAAGCCGCCTTTGGAGATGTTCCTTGTCTTGTGGAGAGGTAAGCATTACTAGATTTTATTGGTTTGTTCTTTAACGTCACACTCAGCAGTATTCCGATGTGCTCATGCTGTTGATCACTGAATTGTCTGGTCCCGACTGGATTATTTACAAACCATTGCCATATGGCTGGAATATTGCTGAGGGCAGGGTTAGACGACAACGAAACAATAAATCATATCTGTGATATAACTGAAATTCACTCACTCACAGAGTGAACACAAGAACACAGGTGACAATTTATTAAACCCAGTGCAGTTTTGCTCGTGGTATGTAATCTCCATTTCATGTTGTCTAATTGAGTTCATGGAAGAACTATGAATCTGGTGCAGTCTTAAATCCTGTTTTATCCTCATCTTCCTGTTGACGATGTTGTTCCAGCTCTAGTGTGACGGAGAGCTCCCTGGTGTGTGTTACGACCGGTGTGTGGGACGCCACGCCCAGATCCCCCATTAAGCTGTTCTACGATGGAAGAGAGTTTCCTTTAAGTCGAGATTTCTTCTACCGAGAGAACCCACTGATTGAGAAAATATCCCCCCTCAAGAGCATAGCCAGGTATTATAACTTCATGAACACTGTGAACACACATTTAACACTTGAATTATGAAAATAGGCAAGCCAACCTTTGTGACAAGTTTTCTTGATAGTTTCTCTGATACGGACCATGAAACAAAAAATATACAAATACCAAAGCAAGTTTATACTTATGCAAGTTTAAAATTCTTCTGTTTAAGAGACTGTTTACGATCCAGAGATTAAATGTTTAATCTTTTGATAATTGCTTCACAAGTTTTTCTACAACTGCTTTTCTAAATTTGGTACATTCTGTTAATTTATTACAACAGTGGAATTTGAGTATTTTTGGCAATTATTTTGTTATAGAGTCTGCATTTGTAAAGCAGAGATACACTGAGTCTTGTGTCTGTTCCAAGTAAACGGCTGTAATGTGGGATTAGAATGTCCAGAGAAACCCAACTCGATCGTATTGACAAATTTATAGAGGGTTCATTAACGCGTGTTATGTCTCTGGCTGAAAACAAGTCGTGGTTCTCAGATTCCACAGCCTGGTAAAAACATTGTCCCTTCCAGGAAAGCATTTTATTTCTGCTTCAAAAACAATTCTGACACCGAATAGCACTGGTTTTTTTCTTCTCTTTTAAAAAACCCTACCATCTTCCAGCCTCCTGTAATGTTTTTAAAGAGAGAACAGTTTCTATAATTGAAGTACCATTAAACGGTCTCTGAAACTAGTGATGTTATTTTGTTTCTTGTTTTTCAGTGGTGGGCGTTACTTGACCGTCCTTGGACGCCATTTCCGCTACATCCAGAAGCCTCAGATGTTTGCCTACATCCCCACTGAAGATGGAGAGTACTTCCCCACCAAAAGCACTGTGAGTGTCTGCAGATGATATGTCTCCTATGATATTGCTAAAATCTAAAAGCAGCTTAAAACCATGCTCACTCATTCTTTCTTGATGGTGTACTATTATTTCCCTGGTCAGTGGATCAGTGTACTCTATAAATCCCATTCTGAGCTCCTTACAAGATGCTAGAAGGTATGCAGTCCTATGACCATCCTTCCAGGTACCCATACACTGTTATGCGAATGGAGGTTTATTTTGAAGGCACTTGCTTTAAGAACCATCACTTCTAACTCATGTTTAAGGTAGATTTTTTTTTCTGTGTCTAACACTGACTCAACAAGGGCATTGCTTTGGCTTGAGTATGTTGCTTTGTTTGAATATGTTTTATTGTGCAGGGTTATGTCCCTTCTGTATACCAGAATACGGTGATTGTGGGTTTGAATCCAAAATTCACACTGATTATGTTTCTTGTTTTGTCAACTCGTATGACTGCTCATGGATTCACTAAAGTGTAAATGTCGGGGGGGGGGGGGGAGGTAGCCTAGTGGTTAAAGCGTTGGCTCGTCACGCCGAAGACCGGTTTGATTCCCCACATGGGCACAATGTGTGAAGCCCATTTCTGGTGTCCCCGCTGTGATATTACTGGAATATTGCTAAAAGTGGCGTAAAACTAAACTCAGTCAGTCGGTAAATGTCTAAGACGCCGATCACTCATATACCTCACTCACTCAATCACTGTTTCAGATATATTATTATTTCTAATTTGTAACTTATCACCCTTTTCCTTAAAACCCTTCTCTGCATCAATATACTTTGTCTTTTCACAGGACTGCTTTATCAAGCATGGATCCCAGATGCAGTGCCCGACCCCATCACTGCCTCGTCTTGTGCGTTACCAGGTGCGGCTGAAGCGTGACACAGAGCAGAAAGCTCCCCTGGTCGTGGAACTTGGCTTCATCATGGACGGCGTGCTGTCAGTCCGCAACCTCTCCGGCTCCGGGATCGATGCCCAGCTGGAGTATTACCAAGACCCTCAAGTGTACAATTTCACAGAGAAAGACAGGACGAAGATCTTTAAGGGGGAGATGCTGATCATTGAGGTATCTCAAATATTTTCTTCTTTATTTGAGTGCACATGTCATCGTATCCCAATTGCGAAGATCATTTCTCATGATGTTTATCACTGGAGTGTCTGGTCCAGACTTGATCATTTACAGACTGCCGCCATATAGCTGGAATATTGCTGAGTGCGGCGTTAAACAACAAACCAACCAATCTTACCATGCTTCTGGTTTATGAAGTGTTAAAATGGCTGAGACCTGCATGATGTTGGTACTTCCGCCAGACTTGTACTTATTGTAGCGTTACTTACATATCTTATAGAGTTGTAGAGCCAAATTCTATAAACAATTCTCATAGATTTTGATGTTGCTATCTTCTAAATAAGATGTTTTAACAAGCACTGACACTTGCTGTAATGAATGTGACAATTTTCTTTCCAGGGTCATCACCTGACATTGGCAGCCAACAAGAATGACGTGGTGGTTCTGATTGGTCAGCAGCTGTGTAACGTGACCACCCTGTCCTCAAATCAAATCGTGTGTGCCCCACCCCCAAAACAACCCCCAGCCGTTAACGGGGAGAATGGCAGAGAATACCCTGATGTCATTGTGAGTAGAAACTGAACCATAGAATACTGTACTTCACTGGGAGTCCGAGTTAGAACTGGTCCTCACTGGTGTAGACTGGTTGTAAGGGGTAACCCAATGAATTGGGAAATGAGTTGGTTGTGATTCATTGAACCTCAATAATGGTGAATCATTGCTAACACTATGAATCACTGGGTTGTCTGGTCAAGACTTCATTTTTAAAGACCTGATTGTCAGTACCTGGATTGTCTGGTCAAAACACCTTTATTGTCAGTAGTTGCCATCATGGAGGTGAAGTAGTGCTTAGTGTGGCCTTAATCAAAAGATAAACAAAATATCCCTTGCTACAAGCCTGTCCTCAAGTCCCATACCTAACAAGCCAGAGCCCTGTTGCACTTTTAGTACTAAGACAGTCTTTAAGCCAATGTTAATGTGTAGCAGTTACAATCGCCTTAGCACTAAGATAGCTATGTGTAGCTATATTACAATGCAGTCATAGCACTATGACAATCGTTAAGCCAATGTAAGTGTATGGGAGGTAAGATCGCCTTAACGCTAAGATAGCTATGTGTAGATATGTTTCAAAAAGCAATCATAGCACTATGACAATCGTTAAGCCAATGTAAGTGTATGGGAGGTAAGATCGCCTTAACGCTAAGATAGCTATGTGTAGATATGTTTCACAAAGCAATCATAGCACTATGACAATCATTAAGCCAATGTAAGTGTATGGGAGGTAAGATCACCTTTAGCTAAGATAGCTATGTGTAGATATGTTTCAAAAAGCAATCATAGCACTATGACAATCGTTAAGCCAATGTAAGTGTATGGGAGGTAAGATCATAGCACTAGACAATCGTTAGCTAAGATAGCTATGTGTAGATATGTTTCACAAAGCAATCATAGCTATGACAATCGAGGTAAGCCAATGTAAGTGTATGGGAGGTAAGATCATAGCCTTGGCTAAAGTGTATAGCTATGTGTAGATATGTGTAGATATGTTTCAAAAGCGATCATAGCACTAAGACAATCGTTAAGCCAATGTAAGTGTATGGGAGGTAAGATCACCTTAACGCTAAGATAGCTATGTGTAGATATGCTTCACAAAGCAATCATAGCACTAAGACAATCGTTAAGCCAATGTAAGTGTATGGGAGGTAAGATCACCTTAGCGCTAAGATAGCTATGTGTAGATATGTTTCACAAAGCAATCATAGCACTATGACAATCGTTAAGCCAATGTAAGTGTATGGGAGGTAAGATCGCCTTAGCGCTAAGATAGCTATGTGTAGATATGTTTCACAAAGCAATCATAGCACTATGACAATCGTTAAGCCGATGTGAATGTATGGGACTCATGATCACCTTAACGCTAAGATAGCTATGTGTAAAAGAGTCCAGGGCCTTCTTTCACAAAGCACTAAGGTGATCGTAAGTCACTAAGGTCACCTTAGTGCTATGTTAAAGAATGGGAGTTAAGGTTAACCTTAGTAAAGGTTGCTTTGTGAAAGGAGCCCCATGACTGTGGGCAAACAACAGTCTCTTTCACAGCAAGCTTGGTTTCTGTCCTCAAGTCCGGGATACACTTGACAATCAAGGCTGTGACTAAGTGCTGCATCCAGCATGGCTGCATCAGTTGCATCTTGTCCTCCTGAGATGAGGCTTGTGCTGAGTATGGATTCTGCTAATTGCTGTCAATTAGAGCCTCTGTCTTGGTCCAATAATCTATCAGTTGATGCAAGTCTGCTGTAACTCGCACGATGTGATGTTCAGATAAGTCTGTGTAATGTCACGGCCATGACAAGTCTTATGTCAGTGGGTTCTTGTTTAATGAAAACCCATGCTGCCACAGATCCAAAGTATAGTGTAGCAGTAAATTACATAACGCTAGAGAATGACCGGTCTCGATTATCGGTAGAAACATTGGGCATTGAAAGCAAAATCTCCATGATAATTGTATGACTGGATCACTGAAAATCTGTGATGACACCAGGTGTTCATTGCCAGACACCAGACAGTCGTACTTTGGGCATGTAATGGCAGCTTGTAAACAGACTTTCAAGTATGGTCATGCCAGACACTTAGGTCCAAATCCAAAGTGTTTATTTTGTCACGCCTAAGTCCTGGGTTCAATTCCCCACATGGTTAAAATATATGACACCAATTTCTGATGTCCAACCACTTGTTGGAATATTGCTAAAATTGGTATAAACCCCAACCCACTCACTCACCCAAAAGTCAGCCTGATTACGGTCATGTTTGTTAACACCATGCTTGTGCTTTCACCAAAGTGGTAAATGCCTGAGACCTGCATCGCTTCAGGTTTTCCTCCCTCATTTAGCAGACAATGACATGATATTTCTGGAACACTGATGGCATGAAACCAAACCTCAAAACTCATTGGGTGGAACTTTCCAAAAATATCCTTGACGAATAATTTATTTTTTTCCAGGTGAAGGTCAATAATCTGAGTTTCAATGTTGGCCGCGTGAGGTATGATGTTCCCGAACAGTACAGCTTCCCGAAGGAGGCTATCGCCGGCATCGCAGCCAGTGGCGGGTTCCTCCTCTTGATCATCATCCTCATCCTCATCATCTACAGACGACAGAGCACGAAGGCCGAACGCATCTACCGCAAATTACAGATACAGCTTGATAACCTTGAGAGCAACGTCCGTAATGAGTGCAAACAAGGTAGGTAGCAATCTAGATGTTGTGAAGTATTATTATCATCATCCATTGGAATGATCAATAGAAAGTCAAACATAAAAAAAAAATTATGCACAGTTCTGAGACAATGGTGTTTTGCATTTGGTAAGAGAAACTTCAAAATAACTTATTTCAGAATATATTTTAACTTTGGGGAAAATTCATTTGTGCATTCAGCATCCTAAAAAAGGTTAAGTTTTCTGTATTTTAGTAAATTGGAATGTTAATATTAAGATATTTAAAAAAAGGCAATATTATTTAAATATAGTTAATGTTAAAATAAAATTTATTAAAATTACCTAACTTCTGTTACATTTTAGCCTTGAATTCCTGTTTGGGCAGTCGCTCACTCTATACAATCTTTTATCATCCTCTTGACTGCCTGCATATCTGTTAGTTGTTGGGATAACACTATTTTATATTAACTACTGCTGGTGACAGAATTTTACCATGCACAGTGCAGTGGGCGTTCATTTAAGTAAATATGTTTTTGTTTTCTATTCCAGCTTTTGCTGAGCTGCAAACCGACATGACAGATTTGACTGGTGACATCATAGCTAGCGGAATACCGTTTTGGGATTATCACACCTACACCTTCAAGGTCCTGTTTCCTGGGATGTCAGACCATGTGATACTTCACCCACCTCTGGTACGTCATCGTCATCCCTGTTCATCCATCATTGACGAAACAGGATTTGATAATTAGTGATAATATTATGTACTGTATTGAACATTAAACACTGGCTTTGAATATCGCTTTTTCTGTCCAAACAGATGTTCTTTGATGAAATAGATGAGAGTACTTAAATATATTGATTATTTTTTCAGCAAAAGAATGGCCGTATCAAGTTCTCGGATCAAGGCTTGGTGTTGTTCCAGCAGCTGCTCAGCAAGAAAGTGTTTCTGTTGACCTTCATCCGGACCATGGAGGACCAGAGAGGCTTCTCCATCAGAGACAAGTAGGCACCTTGTGTTGTGTAACTGGGGTTCCTTGACTGTAGGTGTCCATCAGAGACAAGTAGGCACCTTGTGTTGTGTAACTGGGGTTCCTTGACTGTAGGTGTCTATCAGAGACAAGTAGGCACCTCGTGTTGGGTTGGGTTGGGTAACTGGGGTTCCTTGACTGTAGGTGTCTATCAGAGACAAGTAGGCACCTCGTGTTGGGTTGGGTTGGGTAACTGAGGTTCCTTGACTGTAGGTGTCAATCAGAGACATGTAGGCACCTTGTGTTGTGTTGGGTTGTGTAACTGGGGTTCCTTGACTGTAGGTGTCCATCAGAGACAAGTAGGCACCTTGTGTTGGGTTGTGTAACTGGGGTTCCTTGACTGTAGGTGTCAATCAGAGACAAGTAGGCACCTTGTGTTGTGTAACTGGGGTTCCTTGACTGTAGGTGTCGATCAGAGACAAGTAGGCACCTTGTGTTGGGTTGGGTAACTGGGGTTCCTTGACTGTAGGTGTCCATCAGAGACATGTAGGCACCTTGTGTTGGGTTGGGTTACTGAGGTTCCTTGACTGTAGGTGTCAATCAGAGACAAGTAGGCACCTTGTGTTGGGTTGTGTAACTGGGGTTCCTTGACTGTAGGTGTCCATCAGAGACAAGTAGGCCCCTTGTGTTGGGTTGGGTTGTGTAACTGGGGTTACTTGACTGTAGGTGTCATCATGGTCAAATAGGCACTATATATAGGACTAAATAAGTCTGCCTATATGTTTTGAGAGAAATTGTGCAGTGACAAGCCACTTCACTGACTTTCTTATGACTGCCCATCAGAGACAAATAGGACAAGTTGTCCTCCCTGTCTTCATCTTCTTTCTTTCTCCTCCTCCTCTTCTTTCTTTCTCCTCCTTTTCTTCCTCTTTCTCTTCTTTTTCCTCCTTTTTTCTCCTCTTTAGTTTTCTCTTGCCCCTTCCCCTATTCTTCCTTCTCCTTCTCTTCCTCCTCCTTTCAATTTACAAATAACATTTCCAACATGAAATCAGATAAGGAAGTAAGTTATAAACTGCAGTAACATGATTTATTGACTTCAATGCGAAAACAAAGCACATGTTTGGAAGAAGAACGATTTAGGGTGACCCTGCTAGACGCCAACATATCTGACATTTTGTGCCCTGCTGTTCTAAGCGCCCAAGAGGATTGTCATGCAATAAGTCATGTTCCAATCTGGTCCTCCCCTAGCCACACTGTGCCCACTAATCTGATTGAGACGGACGCTGTCGACTAAATGCCATTCTCTTTAACGCATTTCAGAGTTGAGAGATCATCATTATATTGTCTACATGTTATGATAGAAGTACTACTGTGATAAGGGCTGACATCTGACATCCTTTGTCAGTTCACGGGCTTTTTATATATTGCTGTTTGAGTTGTAAAACTTCAACAAGTAGTCTTGGGAACCATTTGTAATATATCACTATATGTGGTTCAAGACTTGGTATGCCATTATTAGACCATAGCTTCATAGATTTCACTGGAGTCTTAAAGTCATAATGTCTGAGATGAAACCTTGAATGAATTTTGTTTTTTTATTCACTTTTTCTATAGTATTCAGTGAGTACTCAAAGTATTGAATACAGTATACTTTGAAGTACAGCTACAGCCTATATTCCCCATGGGGATTTCAGATTAGAGTTGGTCTGCGGCACCCTTTGTTGTGAGGGTCGACTAAATGGATGGTGTTTTGGGGTTCTGTGATTCTGATTGATGGTACCTGACAATGTCAGTCATTACTGACAATCGCAGTCACTGGATTGTCTGAACCAGACTGGACTTGTTCAACAAGCTGTTGTCATGTAGCTGGAATGGTGTTGAGTGCCGTTAAACAAGAACATTTCTTACACAGTTTTCATGATTCAGTTGCTGATGCAACTCCAAATCTGGTGCTGTTGAAAATGAAGTTTGAGCCAAATTATATTTCCGATATTGTGCTTATGTTTTTTGTGGTCGACTGTAATTGAACATATACTTTTTTCTGCAGAGTAAATGTGGCGTCTCTGCTGATGATAATCTACCAGGGCAACATGGAGTATGCTACAGAGTAAGTACAAGCCAAGCATCCTAAATGTATTTGATGTGGGGATAGTAAGAAATGAAAACTTGTCTTTCTGGACACAGACTGCCTCCATAGTGTTGTAGATAGAGCATCTGCCTGGAGAGCAGAAGGCTAGAGTTTCTAGATCTGCATCATACCAAAAGTTGTTTAAAAAATGGTACTTGCTGTTGCCCTGCCTGCCCGGATTAAACAAAGACTGGTGGGCCAGATGTTGAATTCTCAAAATATTCAGCCACTCACTTGTACACATTGTATCAAACAGGAATACAGAAAGGATAACCCTTCCAGAGAAAATGATCCTGTTTTGACTTTAAATTGTTTTGAATACTATCTTGATTAAGTCTCAATATGACTTTGATGTGACCTTGATATTGGCTTGATGTGACCCTAAAATGACCTTGAAATGTCCTTGATATGTCCCCATGGCCTGTTACCTAGACTACATTGATGATGTAGATAAGCGTGTATTCCAAGACAGGAGGGATACAGACAGTAGCCAGTCAGAATCAATAACAGTGTCACTGTCTGCCGATTAGCTTCCGATGAAATTGACCTAAGTAAAGACCTCAATTGTCTGTAATTACCTCTTCTGGAAATAACAATTAGTTGTGTAGTAATTACTTGGAAACTGATTCACTCATGACAAAGTCTGATGTTTTCCCAGATGAACATTGTAGGGCAATCACTGGACTAAAACTGAAGGTCATCTATTTGCAGATGTTTTAAAAGAACTTTCTGTTTTTCAGAATTTTGAAATGCCTGTTAGTAGAACTGGTGGAGAAGTCTGTGTCAGGTCGACATCCCAAGCTAATGCTGAGAAGGTAAGAAATAGGACATTTTCTCTATTTCAGGGATTATCGGGTCAACCTATAAATAGTGAAAACTTAATCTGGAAACACCATCCTCTAGAGGATTACAGCTGGGAATGCTTACATGCATACAGAGAGTATATTTCCCTGCAACCATGAATCATTAATTCCAAAATCTGTTAATCTGGATGATTTCACTGGGGATGTCATGTCTTGAATAATGGTGTTTTCCTTTATTGAGGACCATGCAATTCGAAGCCATGTAAATGATTTTTATTAATGCAGCTGTTAATATGTGCTTGAGCCAGTGGAATGTTGATAATCGCTGCATCTGTCTGGAAACCTTTTATGATGTCTCTGCATGAATGATAATTGATTGTTCCAAAATAATTGTTTTCGGTTAAAATGTTTTAAATGAATTGTGGATGAAAAAATGACAGCTAAGTGAATCAGTTTATACATGTGGTACATTCCCTGATATTCATTATCTCGGAAATAAATTATATTTAATGTGTGGATTAAATGCAGCATATGACTTCATTACATTCTGTTGTTTTTTAATGAGAAATTTATTGAATTTGAACAGAAACATTGCTTTTCCATGGTTTGAAGCTCATATGTAGTTTTGAATAAATCTGATAATCTTCGTAAATTGGGTTATTCAAATGTTAACATCGTGACCTTTCTGACGGTACTGAGTCAATCTGTGGGCTTTAATCTTATTTTACTACTGCCTGTCTCTTAACAAGAACATAAAATCAATATCGATCAAATCTCAACGTTTTTAGTTGTAAAATATATCAAGATTACAAGGCTTGGGAGTATGTTAAAAAAAGAAACGATTTAATAATTAATTGTGTTTTTGATCAAAATGGGTTTTTATTTCAGGACGGAGTCGGTTGTAGAAAAGTTACTTAGCAACTGGATGTCGCTCTGCCTGTACAAGTATTTGAAGGTAAACAGAAAGAAAACTGCTCTCTTCATGTGCATGAAATATTCATCGTAGAACATCCTTGAGATATATGTCAATTTAATTTAAGCTTTTATGCGATGTAATTTAAATGGATATTTCCCATACCAATGTTATCAGTGACATTATAATAATATTTTCTTACAAAGTTGTCTTCTATTTTTATTAAAGGCTTTCTATGTCTCAGATCATTTTGCTTGAGTCGCAGAACTGTTTTATTGGCTTTTCTGCCCAAGGAAGACTTCAAAGTTTGATCGATGAGATCTGTTAATTTAAATTGTTTTACTCTGTCCCAATATTTGTGACAAGGCTTGTTATTATGAAGCTGTTGTTTTCTTTGCCCAAGTCTCCTATTACCCTTTTGAACCTGAAAATAGGTAGTGTTTTATCATAGTATTTCATCTTATTCCTGAGATAAATATTCAGCTAAATATTTTCAGTTTGGAACCCTGTCATCATTATCAAACTTGTAATATATTTATACAGTGTATTTTCAGGGATGGAAATATCTTTCTGTTTATATAATGCATACCATATTTCACCCAATAAATGACTACATGAATAGACATTAGGACATGTACAGATCTAGAGGGAGTATGGAATGAGTGTCCCCCTCTTCCCCTTCATTTTGAATACTGAACATATACACTTGTCAGAATGTATATATACCAAATCATTTGGGTAACATGATTCCTGGAGAGGACAAATCTCTATTACACCATTGCCATAAATCAAAAATTTTGGCTGTTATCACACCAGAAAAATCTCATAATCAGTTGTGCACTTACTAGTATCTTGGATGGGATGTTCTTGACAACTATATTTAACTGACTGTATTTACTTTCTATTGAATGCATTATTTACACTTACATGCAAATATTTTGTGCAGACAACCTTAAAGAATGCCTATGTTCATATTGAAGGAATTCTTGGTCCCACATATTTGTAATGGTAGGAAAAAACGTTAGGGCATCTTTTGCAATAAATATGGCAGCAGTGCTTTGTTCCTTATCCATTTCCAAGCTGTTGCCAAAACATGATTACTGTCCATTTGAAATGACATCCAAATAAACACCAGGTATTACATCATGTGACATGTATCGGTAACACTGGGGTAATGTTGTTTTGCAGGATCACGCAGGATCTCCTCTGTTTATGTTATACAAAGCAATAAAGCTGCAGGCAGAAAAGGGGCCAGTCGATTACGTGACAGGAGACGCCAGATACTCCCTGTCCGAGGATAAACTGCTTAGAGAGAAAATAGAGCCCAAAGTGATGGTAAGAATCGATCCGTGTTTCGCAATCCAGGAAAACACTCTACCTGTATTGCTGTTTCGTGACTCAGGATTGATCGTGGTCGAGAAGTTCAGAAAAACACAATAACTGTTCTTGTTGTATAAACAAACAGGACAAGGTCCAGTTGATGTTGAATAAACACAATATTCAGCCTCTGTATTGGAAATCATAACAAGCATCTCTACTTATTTCTCAGAGTTTTGGTCCAATTGCATAACTTAGCTTATGTTTTAAGGATTAGAATCTGTTTATGGTTTTGGAATTGTGCCGAGAACTGTGGTAGATATTATTTCTGGCTGGAACATGGCTTTAATCTGTTATTTTGAAGTTGTGACAATATAATCCATGTTTGCGGAATCGGAGATGATGTTCATTATTTGTCTTGTTATGGCTACAACTTCTCAAGAATTGATCCTTACTTTGGAAATTTGAAAAAAACGTTATTACCTTGGATCTTGTTTTGGTTAAGGTTGTGCTTCATGCTTTAGGATCTTACTCAAAACCGCAATAACAAGCACCTGTTGTTTCTGGGACTCATAACACTTTCTTGCTTGCTTGTGCCCGGTGTCAAGGTCAGATGAATGCTTATGGTCAACTTTGTTATTTGGAATAACGTTGTTTGAATTATGTGAAAAAAAGTGTTAATTTGTGCTTGACTAACTGGATATGCTTTCAGTTTGAAGTATTTTGGTTGTTCATTGAAAGGAAAAAATACTGAAGTCTGATATTTTGTGATTCAAGAGACAGAATACTGTTTGTCCTTCAATATGGATAGGGTGTCATTAAGATGAAACTGTTTTAAAAATGACCAACAATATTACAATTAGTTGCCTCGAAGAATGACAAATTCTAAACAGTATCTTCATAGGTATTTCAGGTGTTAAATAGGATGACATCAGTATTTCAACGTGATGTGTGTGCTGACACGTCATCGTATCCTGATAGTGTAGATCGATGCTCATGATGTTGATCACTGGATTGTCTTGTCCAGACTCAATTATTTACATATAGCTGGAATAATGCTGAGTGCGGCGCTAAGCAACCAACCAACCAAACAAACAAAGTGATGTGTGTGATGTCTGTGTTTTCGTATTGTATAATGGTTGCTGTTTTTGCAGACACTAAACGTGGAGCACAATGGCGAGATCACCCAGTGCCGTGTCCTGGACTGTGATACCATAACCCAGGCCAAAGAAAAGATGTTGGATATGCTGTGTAGAAATATTCCCTTCTCACAGCGGCCATCTGTACAAGACTTAGATCTAGGTACGTGGAAATGTTCCCTTTTCATATACTGTCTTTTCAAGACTTAAATCTAGGTACAGGGAATTGTTCCCTTCTCATAGTACTGTCTGTACAAAAACAGCCAACTGATCAAAACTTAGATTATTAACCATTTTTAGCCAATGGTAATGACTCTGCAGCGTTTGGAAGAAACTTAAATATCGTTCAATTTTTAGAAAATTTCATAATTAAGAATCTGATAAAATGTTTAAAATAAGAAGTTTGGCAGTAAGTGATTGGTCACATCTGGTGGGAGATGTTCCTTTGGTGATTTCACAGGTAATTTATTTTGGATGCTCAAAATGTTCAAGTTTGAAATGTGAAAAGTAACGGCCCATGAAACAGGTCACGTGATAGAGTATGTAGTTTTCAGTGGGAGTAAAACGCAAGCTGGATCAGCAAAGTATGTGGTCCTCTCAACAGATTCTTTATGAGCAGATTGTACGCAGCTAAACACCAGATGCTCTCTTGTTGTAAACATGCGATACAATATCGGTGTCTCATCTTTCTGCATCATTACAATATCTGTGCACAAGAAATGATGAAGTATGTTTTCGTTGGAATCTCTTTTTAAAAAAATACAGGCTTTAAATTAACTCCATTGTCAAAAAATCCTGTTCTAACAAAAACAATTTTTTTTTAAAATGTTGATATAATTTAGTTAACATTCCTTCATAATGCTGATGTAAGGATAAAGTTGCACTTTTCAGACTTTTTTTTAAAGTATTTTTTCATTTTGGTGGTAAGACTGCATCATTGAGGGTCGTACAACCATGGATGTTTTAGTGATGAAAGATGTGCTGGAGATCAAGAATGTGGGGGTTTTAACATAAAATGTTTGTTTGTGAAGAGAATTGGTTCTGTCGAGTTGTCCAAGATAGATATTCCTCCACATGTTCCTTGATTCCAGAATGGAGAAATGGTCCCACTGGCCCTGTTCTGCTCCAAGATGAGGAGTCTACCACTCCTTGTAAAGATGGTTGGCGCCGCTATAACATGCTGTCATATTACAAAGTAACAGATGGCGCTTACATGTCTCTGCTGCACCGGCAACAAACCATCAAGTCTTTGAATGGTGAGTGGAATTTTCAGGAATTCTTCAACTTTGAGAATATAACCAAATCTGATTTATTGAGATTTGAATATGACTTCCTGATACTGGTAGAAAACGGTTAAAGTTAAAATTGATGTTATTTAATGTTGTGTTTCTGTAATACCTGAATGGGATGTACATTTTCCATAGAAAGGTTTAAGGTTATGGAAACTACTTTGAAATAATTATGTAATTGCGGTGAATGGAAAGATATTGATAGCAAGTTATGCATGTGTACTTGCATGTGCAATAACATTATTGTCGTGCAGTATTCACATTGTTCTAAAACAATAGGCTTCTGATCATGATTGATATTGTAATGAAGTAATAAATCCCTATATTGCATGATGTGCTGCCGTATTCAGAACGTGGGTTTCGACATATGACATGGCTTGATTTATCGTCAGACACAATCAGTGATTATCATCGTCATCATCATCATAAATCTTTTGTGAATTCCTTCATAATGCTTCCATTCCATCTTATAATCGTGCCATAAACATACTATCATGACTGAAAAAATTTAGTGTGTTTTAGATAAGGTTATTAATTCTTAATGTGGCTCGGGAATAGCAAGACCAAAAAATGTTAAAGGCTTTTTAAGTTGTCAGGTGAGGATATTTTCCTAAGTAATCAAGAAAATGGGAGAAAAAAGTTATTTTAAGTTGCCTTGAGTGTTTTAACTTTCTGAAATTTCCATCAGTTATTGTTTATCTATGACAGTATTTGCATGAAAACTATTTTGGATCAGCAAATTTTTATTTAGAAGTATTTAAAGTTTTTGCTTGAGTTGCGGACTCAGTTTTCTGCTTTTCAAACTAATAAATAAACATAGCACCAAATAATGTGAAAATAAATGAAGTATTATGAATTATTAACAAAATATTTCAAGTAACCAATCCCCTTTCCGACTTCAACTTCTTGCAATTTTCCCTATGAAAAGATGTATACTTCTCAAAAGAAGTTAAGAACATCCAATTCTTCCATATGACCATAGTTTAGTTGTCAAGTCATAACAGAATAACTGTAGTCAAATAGAAGAAATTGGCAGTTCTGTTTTCCACATTCCTATAATTAAGCTCTCATCTTATGACAAATGACTGTAGTCACTTTGATAAATAGGGGTTCTTTAACATTTTTTGAGTAGTATACAATTTTCCAATGCCCTACCTCTATTCATCATTGCCAGTATTGTAACTGTCATCACACAATAAAACCCTTTAGATTTTCAACAGAAGTCCTCTTCACTGTCAGCCATTCAAACTAGTCTTTAGGAAAACCCTATTTCATGCCCAATAACTTGTCAAAAAGTTGGCAAGGCAAATCTGTGATCAAAGAAGAAAGTCTTTCATTATTAAGCACTAGATTGTTTTAATACATTTAAGCATATATATTATCTATTTTCTTGCATTTTTACCACGCTGCATGTATAGATTAATAGACTTTGTGCATGGTCCATTCATGTATGGAATTTTGAATGCAAGCTTATTATGTGAGTACAGATTTGTATTTGGCTTGGTTTCGCAGGTTCATTAGATAACTCTGTTATGTCTGTGAATTCAGCCTTCCCAATCATGAAGATGGACAGCGACCCTGGCATTCGTCACTGGCATCTCGTAAGTACCATCATCCAATAATGATCATCACTCATTAGCCTTTCTGATAGGACAGGTGATGATTAACCCTCTCTGGCTTGTCAGTCTCAGAGTATTGCTGTGGTATTAACCCTTCTTAATGTCATTTGGCTTAGGTATGACTGATGACATTATCAGGATCGGATTTAAAAATAAAAAAAATAATTATGTTTTATTTCTTTTATTGATTTTAATATTTTCTGGAATCATGTATGATGTAGTATAATTAACGGTGCAGGGGTTAAGTTATGAAAGCTACTTGGGGTAAGAATAATTATTAGATTGTATGGTATTAGGTGTTTTTTATCCCTTCATTGAAATAAAACCACATTATGTCAGTGGTGGACTTTTTCTAATGATTATTAACCCAATTTTGTGTTATCACATACGTCAAAATTACCCTTTGTATTCTAGAACCTGATGAACTTTCATGACAGCTGCCTTTGATCATGGTTAAACTGTCTAGCATTGATGGTTTCCAAAACTGTTGATAGGTTTAAATATAAGCTTGCAGATATATTATGGAATTCATTAGGGTTAGACAGCAGAATCCTGGACTAATAATATTCTTGATCTACTGTTTCTGAAACTGTCACAAAAGATTTCACAGTTTACATAGGGCTTAGGGATGGTTTGATAGGCTTGTGGTTGCAGTGTTCACTTGTCATGGCAGAAGTCTGAGTTTTATTCCCCGCAATGTCTGAAGCAGATTTGTTGTGTTCCCCACTCTGATACTAGTGAAGTGTCAAACTATACTTGTACAGGATAGAGATAAGAGCCAGATATACTACTCAATTTTATATGAGGATACAGATGTTTCATTCTGTTAACAATTTATCAACACACGATAGGATATGTAGATATATACTATTTTCCATACCACTTGCAAGTTATATAGTACACCTATTGATGTTATTAGGATATCCTTGTTTGAAGCGTTTGCTTGATTTGTCCAAAAATTCTAACATGAGTAGTTTAGAAGAGTTGTCTGTAATTCCTTGCTATAAATGGTGCTTCATTGATAGATGTGTATAGCTCACCTTACTAACTCACTCACTCACATTAACATTGTGTGCATGTTTCAGGCCAAGCATGATGATGCTACACAGAAAGATGGGGGGGTCAAAATGATATCTGAAATCTTCCTTACCAGACTTTTATCCACGAAGGTAAGTTGCCGCAGATAATTAATTCAGATACCAAATCGACCTTCCACTCAAGCCCTTGTCCGCATACCAATCTTAACGCTAAGACTCAAACTTCCGTACTTTAACATCCCGTCTATCCCTAGACATAGCTTTGAGATCCACACACTGTAGATCTAGACCAGTTTGTATGATTTTTGATAGTTAGGTTTTGTGTATTTTACCATTTCTTTCTCCAGCTGTTTCGGTTCGTCCCTAACATTGTTCCATTCAGTAATGGAGTCATTTTGGATTCAGTGTAAGTTTCAGCATTATACCTGTGCTTGTGGATTTAAGCTAGGAAGAAACGCTCCCAGACCAGCATTTGTTCTCCCACAACCCATGAAGATCTGGTTTAGAATTGACCTACAGTAACCCATGCTTGTCGTAAGAGGCGACTAACGGGGTCGGGATGCTCGGACTCGCTGATTTGGTTAACACATGTCATCGTATACCAATTGCGTAGGTCGATGCTCATGCTCTTTATCACTGGATTGTCTGGTCCAGACTCAATTATTTACAGACCACCACCATATAGCTGGAATATTGCTGAGTGCGGCGTAAAACTAAACTCATTCACTCACTCTTTCATCCCACATTAAGTTAACACACATTGATGTAAATTAAATATTGTTCAAAGCAGGTTAATTTCATCTTGTTCACCCACTCAACAAGGGTCTTGATTCTTGACCCCTTGACACTCAGGCCCCAAGACCATCTAGAATGGCTATACACTCTCCATGGACATAATCCCCTCGACCTTTAACAATTCAAATATATATGAAGCTCAGATATGCTTATATATAAAAATATGTTTTTCAATTTCTTCAAGTTATTTTTGTATGTTGTTTATGATTGAAATGATTTGTTTTTGCAGGGAACACTACAAAAGTACATTGATGATTTATTCAAGGCGATGTTGAGTACAAATCATACGATGCCGCCGATCATCAAGTACTTGTTCGACTTCCTGGACCAGTCGGCGTCACATTACGGGCTGACTGATCCCGATGTTGTACACACGTGGAAATGCAACAGGTAATTACTGCTCTCTTTCGCTTGAGAGAGAAACTGTGAAAAATATGCCGTTTCCTCTCTTTAATGTCCTCTTTGATGTGTGATTCTTAAATCCAATAGTTGCCTTTCCAACGTGTTGGCTTTGGAAAAACGTGGTTGGTAGTTAGCCAGTTACATGCTTTTGATATTATTCTGGTATTAATGCGTAACTCAATATATCTGAAACAGATGCCACGTATGAAATGAAAGAATTGATTCTCAATTTGGCGTATCAAGACATTCTGTTTCCTTTGATCTCTAAAAGCAGAAAATTGAATATTAGCCATCACATGAATAATGAACTTAAATACAGCAAATAATCTGAACTCATACGAAATGAAAAATTGAACATTAAGTGTGTTACTTTGTTTTCTTGAACAGCTTGCCTTTGAGGTTCTGGGTGAACATTGTGAAGAACCCCGACTTCGTGTTTGACATCAACAAGCCCCATATCGTGGACTCGTGTCTCTCAGTGGTGGCCCAGACGTTCATGGATAGCTGTTCCACCTCAGAACACAGACTGGGCAAGGTATATAACTTTTGGAGGAATATTTATGATAAAACTGACCAGTTGAACTGCCAATCCCTGTAATCTGTACTCATCCTGGTCTCACAAGTCTGGAAGAACATCAGGGTTGGTGGCGTAACCTCGTGGTTAAAGCGTTTGCTCGTCACGCTGAAGACCCGGCTTTGAATCCCCACATTAGTATGTGTGAAGCCAGTTCCTGGTGTCCCCTGACGTTATTTTGTTGGAATATTGCTAAAAGTGGCATAAAACTAAACTCACTGTACGGACACCATGACGTTGTGATGTTTGATGTGTCATCACCTGCTTGTCATGTTTCTATTGTCCTTGTATGTACTTCAAGTTACCATTCGGAAGGTTTCATGGCAATATCAGATGAGGCTTTACAGCTACTGAACTCACTCATAAAAGCGACTAATTGGAACACTGACTTGGTTGATCCAGGTCATTGTATTCCAATTGTGAAGAACCTTTTGTGTTTATTAGTAAGGATATCGTATACATGATTTCACCTCACCTTACCTCACCCTTTGTTTTTTATGATTAAGGATATCGTATATGCGTTTTCATCTCACCCCCACCTGACCTGACCTGACCCTATGTTTATGAGTAGGGATATCATACGTGTAATTTCACCTCATCTCACCCTTTGTGTTTATGTGTAATTTTTTATCTCACCTCACCCTTTGTGTTTATGTGTATTTTTTTATCTCACCTCACCTCACCCTTTGTGTTTATGTGTAATTTTTTATCTCACCTCACCATTTGTGTTTATGAGTAATTTTATTATCTCACCTCACCTCACCCTTTGTGTTTAATCTCACCTCACCTCAACCTTTGTGTTTATGTGTAATTTTATGATCTCACCTCACCCTTTGTGTTTATGAGTAAAGATAAGATATCACCTCACCCTTTGTGTTTATGAGTAAGGATATGATATCACCTCACCCTTTGTGTTTATGAGTAAGGATATCACATCACCTCACCCTTTGTGTTTATGAGTAAGGATATGATATCACCTCACCCTTTGTGTTATGAGTAAGGATATCACCTCACCTCACCCTTTGTGTTTATGAGTAAAGATAAGATATCACATCACCTCACCCTTTGTGTTTATGAGTAAGGATAAGATATCACCTCACCTTTTGTGTTTATGAGTAAGGATATCACATCACCTCACCTTTTGTGTTTATGAGTAAGGATAAGATATCACCTCACCTCACCTTTTGTGTTTATGAGTAAGGATATCACATCACCTCACCCTTTGTGTTTATGAGTAAGGATATGATATCACCTCACCTCACCTTTTGTGTTTATGAGTAAGGATATCACATCACCTCACCTTTTGTGTTTATGAGTAAGGATAAGATATCATCTCACCTCACCCTTTGTGTTTATGAGTAAGGATATCATATGTATAATTTTATCTCTGCAGGATTCTCCATCCAACAAGCTGCTGTTTGCCAAAGATATCGTCCACTACCGCAAGTCTGTGGAGAAATACTTCCAGGACATCCGGATTCAGCAGGCAGTCAGTGATCAGGACATGAACTCCTTCCTGGCTGAGGTGTCTAGGGTGAGTACTGTACCTGCTGTGCCACCTTGTGCTGGGTGTGGGCTGTAGGGTGGGATAGTTTGGGTGTTCAAATCCCCACAGAGGTGAAGTCCATTTCAGTGCCCCCTGATGTGTTATTGCTGGAATATTTGCTTATATATTTGCTAAAAACTGAGTGTGACATTAAGCAACAAATGGTTCACATTCGTCCATGTCTTTGCTGGAATGGGTCCCCCATCATTGCCCATGTTTGTTATTGCAGAATAATGGGGATTGGTTGGTTACAGTGCATGTTCTCAGTCACTGTGTGTGCTCATGCTGTCACCCATGGTTTCTCTGGGCCAAACTCTAACTGGCTGGAGTGACATAGGGGAATATTACTGACAACACTGTTGAATATTACATCTCTTTAAATTGTAATGTCAAGTACTCTGAAATATCTTCCAGATAATATCTTCCTACTGACACTAGAATATTCATGCTGTCTTACTTCGAGTTTGTGCTATATCTAGACCTTTTTTTCTTGTGATAATAAAAAGATCAATGTGAACTTTCTCTTTTTAAATATTAATTCTTCACTATTTAAGCTTAATGTAGAAAGCAGTATGAACAGAATTCTTTCTATAACATGGATGATTTTTCATTTGTTTATGGGTATATGTTTTTTAATTAAATTTTCTTTTTATCTATTGCAGATGTGTACAGGGAAGTTCTATATATCTAGTGCTTTGAGGGAGTTGTATACTTATGTGTCCAAGTATCATTCAGAGGTGAGTTCATCACAGAGGTTGTGGTTCAAATTGGTTTGTACTCTCCCCAGGGAGCTGAGAATATTCTGGTGAACAGTGATCCATTGATTTGGCTATTACTATTTTTGCTGTGAAATACATGGAGGGATTCGGTGCATTTACAAGTGTCATCCATCATCATCATCATCATCATCATCATCATCATCATCAAATATAAATAGTTAGTTTTAAGATATTTTAACACACAGATATGAAGCTTGAATTATCTTATTTCCAGTTGTTGATGGTTTATTGATGGTCTTCATATAAAAACACCCAACATATTTCAAAATATTTATTTCGAAATCTGAAACATTTATGCAACTTTCAAAAACCATTTCCTCATATTCTCCGATAAATTGGAGTAACAGCAATCTTACCAGATAGTTCTGTGTTAAAAATATATTGATTTGTTTGGTTCAAAATGGATGTATTTTCCAGTAGACACCATAGAAAGAAAAAAATGTAAAATGCATTAGCTACAACATTGTGCATGCAGTTCCGAATAATAAAAATGGTTTTCAAATGGATTCACAAGTCGGCCAACAATCCTCCAGAAGAATATATATAAAACACTGCCTTGGTGCCCAACTCGTCATCACGCACAGAAGTCAATATTCAGCTTTTTATCATCTTTCCTATTTTGATTATGTAGTTTCAGATTCTCATCACAACTTGGCTACAAAAAAATAAACCTATTTAAAATCACTCATTTTGCCATAACTGTGAGTTTCAGATGGTAATGTCTTTTGATAGATGATAGGCCTTAGTGTAAGAAGTGCCTTTATTGATTTCTCTGTTTTTGATCATTGGAAAATAAATTGTAAAGTCATCAATTTGCGCCAGGCAGCAATCAATGTAAAAATGGCTTAGTTACTTAATGGAGAGCGGGGGTATTTTTGTATGTTTCATGAAATGGCAGCCGGAAGTGCTCAATTACACATGACGTCTATTTTGGAATATTTTCTATGGAAATTTCAAATGTTCTGAAAAGTAGTATGTGGTAAATATACTGTTTGTGTCGCTAATGGGGAATTAATGGTAAACCATGGAATGAGAGGACGGTTTATCATTTCGGAGGATTCATAGTGTGTGTATTATATATAGTAATGGTTCTTTTATGCTGATAAGTTTCAGACCAATTCAAACATTAACATGATTATGACATCATCGAGTATATTTGGATAATTCAGTTGAAAAATATTCTTATTTCGATAATATGACTTGCTATGGTTAAGTTCTGGAAAATGAGTTATAACAGTAATGAAAGATACTTGTATTCCTAAAACTCCAAATATATTTCATTCTGTAAATATGTTCTTTTGGAATATGGTAGTCTATGATCTTACTGCATCCAGAGGTGATTGGGTGAGTGGTTAAAAGGTTTGTTTGTCTCGTTGAGCCCAGGGTTTGATTCCCCACATGGGCAATGTGTGTAGAGACCATTATTTATTTCTCTGCCAGACTTTGACGGGAGCAGTGCTTAAAGAGGCGTAATGCTGCACTGAGTCACACACTCTAGTTGTAAAAACATATTTTGCTTTGAACAAAAAATGCTGCAACAGACTTTTTGCAAGATGATGAAGAGAGACTCCATACTTTGGTGCTGTAGAGAATTGTTCAAGTCTTATAAGGACAATAACAGGCTTGTTGCAGCTGAATATAGGATGGGTTCGATATGTGATCCATTATCAGACTATCATCCTGACAACTATGTATGTAGTGGGCAAAGCTCCAGTATCACAGTGTGTTATTTCATTGATCATATTCCCTTGACAACTACTGTTATATATGACTGATCTTAATTGTCTTGGTGTTTTATTTCTTCAATAATCATATTTCCTGAAAAAATACAGTTATACATTACAGATGATTTTGTTCTGATATTTCTTCAGACATATTCCCTAATAACTACAGTTATTCATAACAGATTTTATTTGATTTTGATATGATTTGTTTTAGCTTATTCGCTAAATACTTTTGTTGTACATTACAGATCTTAATTTATTGGTGTGTGATATTTATTCAGACATACTCCCTAACAACTACTTTCATACATTACAGATCTTAGATAATTTTTGTGTAATATTTCCTTAGACATTTTCCCTAACAACTATTTTTGTGATATTTCTTTAAACATATTCCCTAACAACTACTGTCTTTCATTACAGATCTTAAATGCTCTGGATGTGGATAACCAAGCAAGTGCTCAGCAGCTGTCAATGAGACTGGAGCAGGTCATCACTAATATGGAGGGGCCATCCAACAAAACTGCGTACGTGTGATACCCACACACGCACACACATGCACACACTCTAGTCCGTCTTCTTGTGCTGGCCTGTTCTGCTCCTCTTACTGGACTGTATTCCACAATCTGATTGCAGATCCTTATCAACATGATGAAGATTAGTGTAGTGTTCGAGGATGATTGAGACATTCGGTAACTAGAACCAGCAAATCCGTTTGACGGATTACTATGAATATCTGTGAGTATGTAAGGCTGACTGGGATCTGTGTTTCATACGGACAATGGTATGAGAATTTCTGCGATCCCATAGGATCATTTCAAGGAGTAGTCTTTGCCGAAGGATCTGATATATCGAAAATATTTGCCAGTCATTGAAAGAATGAGTTTTCCATGGTTTTCTGAATCAACTATCACTGTCACAGAGTGCGGAATCACCTAGAACGGGACTAATATTGCTCCTTCATCTGTGATGTAGCTTCATCGTGGGATCAGCGTATTGTTGTGAGATGAGATGCTAGACCACGGCTAGCTTTAGAGACTTATGACGGAACTAACTTACTGGCTGATTTGTGATGGTGCTATGATATTGCCACGCTCCTGACCAAATGTCTTTCAATTTTTTTTTTCGCCTGGATAATATTTCAACATTGAGATTAGGGGATGCAGTTTTGGGGAATTACAAGAGTGAAAGACACAGTCTTGCCTTCTGAGCCAAGTAGCCATAGCCCCATCAGTACCTTTTGTGGATGAAGAACGTTCGTGTGTTGTATATTCGCTGTCATGAGTGAATCCTGTTTCTACAACAACAAGGTGCTACTTGGAGCCTGCCTGGAGATTTGACAACAAAATGGCTGCCTCTCATCTTCGTGGTTCTTTAAATCACAGGTGCTTCTGAAGGAAACAGTAATGGCTCTGGTAGTCCTGTAGAATCCTCTCTTCTGTGCAGGTGTTCCTTCTGGAGATGACGCTGTCAGATGGTTACAGCCAATGTTCAAGACTTGCAGGAACAAACATACCCATGGCCATTCCATCTTTTCTACAATCTGCTCTGAGGAAAGGATGGACTATGGCCGATTTTGATGACTGTAAAACAGTAGTGTAATGATCATATCACTTTAACATTGACTGTGTGGTGAGATTGTAGACAATCATTGTAGACCCCTGTGTAGAGGATATCGCAAGTTCAAGACATATAGGTGAACATATGCTGAGTGGAAGGGACGTACAAGTTTTGTAATATTTGTGTGACCTTCAGCTACCATTGTGAACTAGGCAGTGGTAGAAAGACAGCTTCATATAACTAACTTTTGTCTGACTGTCTGGACGTAATATTACAATCTTCAACCAAGATGAGATGGCAGTGATTACTAGGATTTGTTGTCAGTATTGGCTGGCTCAATGGTTAAAGTATTGGCTCCATGCAAAGTTTAAGGGTTTGATTTCAAACTTGAAACAAATCTGTTTCAATCAAGTAAAATCCTTTGGGTTTTGATTTGTCATTTTGATTCTTGACCTTTTCTGAATTTTTGGTTTGTTAAGTCTGTAAACAAGGAAAAAACGAAAACTCTATGATCAATTATGATAGTGTAATATTTACTACGCACAAGTTTATATTCATAAAACTTACATCTGTCTTCTGGATCAATAGTATAAAACACATGCAGACTGAAATGACTGTTTGTTGAGACTATTTAAGGCCATGAAAATGATCTTGTATTGTCTTTGAATCCTGATTCTGTTGTTCTTGTCCAAGAACTACCATCCCATCTTTGATGAAGAGTTCTGACCAAAGTCTCTTTGACACTGCTAGAGCAATATGTCAATGTATATCCAACAGAACAGCCACCACAAGTAGCATCATCAAGACCTCGTCTTCATCACTTTATGCAACAATGCCGACATTCCCAAAGGTGCCCTAGCAAGTGACTGGCGGAGACGTCAGGTTAAGACAGTGTGACATCATAACCACTTGTATTCTTGTATCTATGCATGTAGACTTGTAGTTCACATCTAGGCACCATTGGCTCCATTGTTCTGGGTTAGCAGGAACCAGTTGCACAGCAAGTCTCCGAGAGATCCACTGGATTGGTCACACTATGAATCATTATATTGCTTTACTAATCAGTTTGTTGCTCTGTTATATGGAATCTGAGATACTACCGACCTGCTTGTTAATCAAAACAAGACTTTGTTATTTCATGATTGGTACTTTTTGCACAATTAACTGCTGTATAATTTAGCCTGTACACTAGTGGCCGTGTTCTCCCTTCAATGTCACTTTGAAAACTATTTTACTTAATACTGAATCCACAGTGTAGGGATTCATATGTAAGTACATTTCCCCCTCTTTGAAATGAATGGTTACACTTGTTAAAAATTTGAATGAAATTTAAAATTTGTTGCAAATGTTGCATTAAGGGAGAGCCTGCTTGTTCCACCACCATGAGATTATGCACTGTATTGTTGAGCTATCTCCCCAAAGACTTATGCAAATGACCAGTATTATCTGCATACTCCCCAGCTCAAAGTCCCCCACTTCTGGAACTGTGGCAAATCTTGCCAGGCATGTGTCACATTTAGAACCAGTTTACCATTTCCTTTTGTTATTGCTAACAAACATTTCAAATTCGGCTTTTTCCTGTTTGAAGATACAGTGGTGCTGTTTAGACTGACATCTGTGTGTTTAGTGGTGGGATAGCCTGATGGTGATCATACCAAAAGTCTGGGTTTGAATCCCGCATGGGTAAAATTTGAGGAGATTTTCTGATAGAGCAGAACATGCTTACTTTATTCATGAACACCAGGGCCCTTATTCTCGAAACGTTCGTAGCCCTAAGAATTCTTAACTTTGATCGTAGCCAATGTGTTAAGAATGGACTTAAGAAGTTGATAGAGTTACGAACGTTTCAAGAATAGCTGGCCTGGTGTTGTCACTGATGTTCAGTGATCTGGTAAGTTTCTCCACCATTTTTGCTTTATGCTCAAAGGAATCTTAATTTGTTACATAACGAAGACAGACTGATCTCAGGTGTAAGTGTTTTGAATTCTACACAAACAGATGTCAGTTTACTGCCTCAGCTGTAGACAGCATTACATATGACAGCTGGTCAAAGATCCATATCAGTTAAGACTGCCATGAGAAGGTTAGCCCCAGTTCCTGAAGGAGCATTGTATACTTATATATACATATACATATATATATTTTGTATATTCTCATGGAACCATCTGTATATGCCCATTATGACTTGCCTAAATCTTGTAAATACCACTAATCCGTCATAACTTTACTGTTACTAAGCAACATTTTTATCATTAAAATTTGCCCTTTTGTATTGGAATTTCTGAATCTATCTTGTACATTTTGCTCTGAGTGTAAAACTCTGTACAGCCAACTTACTCTGACAAAATGTGCTTTGTTCAAGAAATGAGAAAAACGTCAGAAATCTTTAAGCGTGTTTATGTGTTATTTATTACTATTTTCATAATAACTAGAGGACCATTGGATTAATTTATGTCATTAAATTAATTTCTTTAATGATTATGTTGGTTTAATTTAATTATCAAATGTCAGATTTAAGATTATTTACTTCGCTACTGACATTGGTGTAAACATGGTGTTTCATATTCTCATTGCCATAACCAATGTTGAATGTTGTCACGGTATTCTGAGTTTGATTCTTATTTATTAACCAGCCAAATTCAGATAGGGAGTTTTACCCTAAAAAGAGTCCCCTGTTTGAGTTTTTGTTCTCAAATCAGAGTGTGTATTTGCATATATTTTGTCAGATATATTGAGATTTTTGTTATATCTAACCAAAGGATCTTGAAAGCCTCCGATATTAGTGCTTTTTAAAAAGGATTTGCATTGAGAAGATTCTCCTAATATAACTTTGCTATCACAGCATGTATTGAAATGTATGTTTTCTTTGAAACTGCATCTTTTGTATGTTGAGATGGTTTTACCATATTTGAAGGTTCATTCCATAGTGTACTGATGACATGTATGCTAAGATGTTAGCTTGCTGTATATGTGTTGAGGGTTGGTCAAGAGAGTCTGGCTCTCATGGACTTCCATTGTCAATAAATAATTCATTTTGTACAAATTAACACATTGTCTGGTGTTTTGGTGTGAGGTTGTAGACTTACGTTGAACACCTGGATCGAGAGATTTCAGACTGTCTGTGGTTCTGTAAAGTGGTAATGACTTCTTCCTGGCACCTTCAGCAAGGGTAATGGTGTCTGGGCTATCTGTTCAGGAGACATGCTAGAAGGGGGAAGTGATTCTGTAATGTCTTGTGGGGAGGGTGCTTGTGACTCATGCTTATTGCTGAAGGTGACAAAGTGAGGAAAACTGAATCTTAGGGCATCGTCCTGTGGTAAACCATTTACCTGGTTGTGAAAATCCAGTTTCAATCCTTGCAGAAATTTGAGGAGTGGCTATTACAAGTTATGATCCAGCTATCATATCAGTAACTCCCTTGCCCATGGAAGATGCTCTTTGCGTTAAACGCAGGTGGTCATGTCGAAACATAAATTACGATGTGAGGAGTTTCTGCCTTCAGGGTCAGGATTTGCTTGTCTTATAGACTGGAACGCCAGATCCACATGATAATAATGAGCTGATCACCTCACAATGTTGGTCCCCGAACAGTGTGGAGGAATGAGTGACTGAAAAGTTATTGTCGCATCAGCAATATTTCAGCCATATTGTAACCTGTCGAGGACTGAACCGTAATGGACACGTTAGAAACGTTCCCCTCCATGACTTGGGTAATGTTCCATCATGACTTTGACATGCCAACATCTATGAGATGAGACACGCTTATTCATTGGCTGACCTTTGCGTGTTGTGATGGCTGCCTCTGGCAAACAGGTTCATCTGGTATGGGGCCATGGGGTAGCCTAGTGTTTAAAGCGTTCGCTAATCACGCCAAAGACCAAGGTTTGATTCCCCACATGGGTACAATGTGTAAAAGCCCATTTCTTGTGTCCACCACCGTGCTATGGCTGGAATTTTGCTAAAAGCCGCGTAAACCTAAACCCACTCACTCATCTGGTATCATCTACATATTTTACGGTGATTTATAAACACATGCTTATGATATAGTCAGCATCAAACAACTAACTCTTCTCTGGCAGGGATTTCCTGTGAATGGCCAGTCTGCAGTAGGATTGTCTTGTTAGAATTGGTTGTCAGAAACCCATGCTTGTAAGAGAAGACTCAGGTGATCAGGCGCGCCAGCTTTGTTGATCATTGTTATTGTATCCCGGTTACAAGATCGATGCTCATGATGTCAATCACTGGACTGTTTCCTGCTGATGGGACTATTTACAGTCAACAGCTGAAGCATTGCTTAGTGCGACGTTTAAAAAAACACAAAAAATTACTTCGGACTATCGATGAGTCTCGATCTGGAAAAAGTAATGATTGCGGCCAATGTCTCTCATCTGACAATAACAACAGTAGCATTTGCCAGTTAGCGTGGCCAAAAGATCCAACTGAGTCCTACAAGCAAGGAGTGCTGTCCACGTATTCCAGTAAATGCTCCGGGGCGGTGGGGTAGCCTAGTGGTTAATGCGTTCGCTCGTCACGTCGAAGACCCGGGTTCGTATCCACACGTGTGTACAATGTGTGAAGCCAATTCCTGGTGTCCCCTCCGTGATATTGCTGGAATATTGCTAAAAGCAGCGTAAAACTAAAGTCACTCACTAGTGAATGATCCAAGGTTCCCAGTTACAGACCAGAAAACGTTCAAACAAATTCAAATTCTACAACAAACAGTTTTGATCTCGGTTAAAACCATTACCGAAACCACATCTTGTGAACAGAATTATAGAATGTATAACACAGGCCCCAGCTATTAATGTCCGTCATACTGCCTTCCAATATTGACAGAAGCCCGATAGCAAGGGCGTTGTTAAGATGGAAATTTATGTCAACTTTTGAAGTACAAGAAACAGACGGCCGTACAACACACCTAGAAATTGGGTCGCATACATACTACAAGCGAATCAATTTCCCAACGAATGTCGTATCAACGGGACTTGCCTTCTACATTTTCCTACTCAGCTTGCCAGCTTATGATCTCGTTTACTGCTGAGATTTGCGCGAATCGATATAGCACCGACACCACTGTTCTATCATGTTCAGCCATTATTTTTAGTCGCCAAAAAAATGATTCCTTGGAAGTAAGTGCTGAGTTCGTATGTTCTCGCTACTAATTATATTTGTAAATATGATATAATTCACGAAATATTAAACTGTACGACATTCATGTTTGAAATTTAGAGTATATTGATTGTCTTTACACAGTCTTCTTTGAATCGTGAAAGGGAAATACTGTTATTTATTTGAGACATATTGTTCGTTGTTTAAGCTGCATTTTCTTATGTGAAGATGGTCTGTAGATAAGACGGGGCGGTGGGGTAGCCTAGTGGTTCAAGCGTTGGCTCGTCACGCCGAAGACCCGGGTTCGAATCCCCACATGGGTACATTGTGTGAAGCTCATTTCTGGTGTCCCCCGCCGTGATATTGCTGGAATATTGCTAAAAGCGGCGTAAAACCAAACTCACTCACTCACTGACTGTAGATAAGAGGACCCGTGAAGATCAGCGTTAAAATTGATCTTCAGTAACCCATGCTTGCCGTAAGAGGCGACAAACGTTCAGGCTCGCTGACTTGGTTGACACATGTCATTGGTTCCCAAATGCGTATATCGGTACTCATGATATTGATCACTGGATTGTCTGGTCAAGACTCGATTATTTACAGACAGCCCTCATGTAGCTTGAACACTGGTGAGTGCGGCGTAAAACTAAACTCACTCACCCACTGTAGATAATATCTCGACGACACAATTCAGTGATTGGTACTGTGAACAACAAACTACAATGGCGGGATACGAGGAAACTCAATCAACCCAGTCACAAACCCTGCCCACCCGATCCAGTTGGTCCCCTTTAAAACCAGGGGCCCGTTCCTCAAAGCGATCGTAGCGCTAGGGTGATCGTAACTCCCACACTTAAACATAGACTTACGACTGTCGTAGCGCTACGATCGCTTTGACGAACAGGGCCCAGGACAGGGGCGGTGGGGTAGTCTAGTGGTTAAAGCTATCGTGGGTTCAATTCTCCACATGAGTGCAATGTGTGAAGCTCATTTCTGGTGTCCGCCACTGTGATATTGCTGGAATATAGCTAAAAGCGGCGTAAACTAAACTAATTCACTCACTAAAACAAGGATGAGCTGTTGGGGACCTGCTCTGAAAGGAATCCCCAAATTGACAGATTTAAGACAATAACGGCAGGAGAATAAATCGTAAAGGGCCGCAAGGTCAACTTGCACATATAGTAATCTTCTGAGGTTCCTCTCGAACATGTTACCAATTTGGAGGAAAGTGATTGCCTGAATTCTACAAAGCCGTTCGGAGATTTTTACACAAGTATCATCTATCTTCTAACATTGACTGTCTAAGGTCTTTTGGTGTAGAGACGCGTGAAAGGTCAAAGCGAAAAACACAAATGGATAACCTCAATTTTCCGTGGTATTTCCAGCAGATTGGTTTCATCGGTTTACTTTGGTTTCGCTTTGTCCATAGACACAATAATATCGGTTCCTACAATAAGATCCTTACTATTCATACTGAACACATCTCTGATGTGGACCGGTGATTATCATGGTGACACGGAGATCAATAATAGCTATGATCACACCAATCTTCTTCATACACAATCATAACCCATTGACAGAAGCTCTATAGCGCTCCGTATGTACTGACATGCAGGTTCCAGCATCACCGGATATGACCTGTCATATCTGGATTCAGCCTGTCACGCCTAGCTCAAGTCGTCTGCTGTAGACAAAGACCGCCTAAAACCGGATCGCCAGAGTCCTTGAGTTGAATAACATGAAAGATGGTAGGCCGGGTGATTACATCGCTTTGTTGGTGATTATGTCATGAGGTTTTAATGCCTGTACATGGGCGACATTCCTCTAAAACCCATGTCTGCTGTTCTGTAATGAAATGGTTTGAGTAAGCAATGTTCTGTAAGGATGAAACGAGTCCGTCTGCACCAATAACTGTAAGAAAACCTAAGGCATGACAAAAACCAATCTTGTTTCCACTTACCCTCAAATTGATTATTTTAGATCATCTTCTTTTGAGCGATTTGAACGAATTGGACAAGCCTCAATCTCATGGTGAGATCCTAAATTACTTAGGCATTTCAAAAGAGGCCTTATCGTCAGTTCGAATCGTGTAATTTATGTTCTCAAAAACGTTTCTTGTACAACTAAATTCGAAGTGTTGACACTCGGCGACCCTGCTTCTCATAGCCCGGTTTTAAATGGCGAGGTGAGCTGAGAGATAACGATTAATACCCTGCTCTGTCATTTTATTTCCAGCTTTCCTCGGCTGTTCTGGGTGTAATTTGAACATCAATTCCGTGGAAACACGCAGCCCTGCCAATGAGCCCGGAACCATGGCAAACATGAGTGTTTCTGTGAGACAAGGATCATGCCACATGTTTGGGAAATGGGTGAGCATATCCTGCCATCTGCCATGAGAATTTCCAGTATGAATTATGGGCCAAATTAAGTTCGCAGAGGTCTTTGTTGCAAGGTGTTATGTAATGGCAGTCGAGTGGTGATAACTGGCTCCTGAATGCTGTGTTATTTGGATAGGTAACCGTCAGAGATACCAACTCTCCATTGTCCACTACGAACAACGTGAACGTGGTACATCGAGGTAATTACAAGGCCCTGAGGTCATGGGCAATGTCATTTCGATTTGTATAACGCTTCAGTCAGCCGTAGGCCAGCTAAATGGCGACGGTCTGTTAATGATCGAGTCTGGACCAGACAATCCAGTGATTGATACCATGAGAATCAACCTGCAGAACTGGGATACGACATGCACCAATCAAGTCACCGACGTATGTCGTCTCTTAGTCTTGGGTCCTGAAATTTGACCAGTTGGGCAATTCTATAAAAGGCTCTTCCCAGGTTAACATTAAGAGTGTTTAGGTTGGGTTGAGTTTGACATGTGTACTTCATTTGGTTCTCAAATCATGTTGAAAAAATATATGATGCTCTAAGAAATTTAGTC